ACGTACGCCTTTTCCTAAAGTCATAGTTCACACCAAGCGCTCCATAAGTCTACATATAACAACTATAAACTAAAAGTGTTGCATTACATTAATACGTAGCACGACCAAAATCCTAACACCATTTTGACGAGATTGGGTCTGGTGTGTAACGTGGACGCGATGCCCCTTTGGAAAATATTTTGAAGACTACACAGTATATCTGAACGAACGAATTGATATTCACTTTTATACATAATATTTACTAAACAACCCTGGTTTGGATGCACACTGTGAACAAGTAAATGTTGTAACTTGTAGATCATGTCTGTAAAAATGGCGTTTACCTGCCCTTGCAGAAATATATTATATTATCCTTAAAAAAGAATATTGATATTCTAGGCGAACATATTTTTCTTGAATAATCTTCCTGTTTCTTATTTCTTAAATGACTACCATTACTATTATGCAACAATGAAGTATATTTCGCATTTGAAGGTGAATACTCCTGACATATTGAAGGGTTGGCGATGAGTAAACCTTTAGAACTACGGTTGGTTGACGCATTTGCGCCATACTTTGAAAATGTTGCTTGAAAGTGTGCACTTGCATAATCACCTCGCGGATGGCTTCAAAGTCATTTGTGACAAATAGGAAGATGTAAAATATTTATTGAATACACTTAACACTCTTCAAAATCATATTAATTTTTCGAGTAAATGGAATCCGGAAGGGAAGCGAAAAAGAAGAAGGACAAAGAACACATTACGCCGGTAAATAGAAGCAGATATGAAAAGGATGAATAGAAACTGGAAAGAACTGGAAAGGAAGGCTCAGGACAGAGTTGGATGGAAAATGCTGGTGAGCGGCCTATGCACCTCGACGAGGGGTAACAGGCGTAAGGAAGTAAATAATGTAAATGGAGAACAACAGTCAGCCACCTTTCTTTGACATACTTGTAAGTGGAAGAGGTGGGTGACAGTCCCACTCAATTTGGTCTTGAACCATCGTCACGTTGATTCTGATGGAAGAGTAGTGTAGTGGCATTGAGCCCTAATTACACAACCCTCAAAGTTGAACACGAGACAACTGGGAATAAATAAATAATCGACATTTAACGCGGAGAAAAACCAAACAATAGAGAAGGTGTGAAGGATAAATTCAATTCATAAAATGGCATGGATTAGCGTTCAGGAGTGATCATTCTTGTGTATTTTCTTATCACTTCCATTCATATTAAATATTTTGTTCTATCTCCAGCCTAAATGTTCCGGTGTAGACAATGATATGACTTACACGTAAGATCTTATAGATCAGGTAGTAACATCATAACAAATCTATAATTTTAGTGGTAGGTTTATCATTATAGCAGTATTATTAATGAAATAGACCATAGTTCTACAATTTATTCAAATAGTCTCTTTGTAGAAGGCCTATATGGATAGGGCAGTAATTTCAGTTTTCGTAGTCATTGTCCAGTTCAATACAACGTTTGGTTGATAAAGGGTTTATTGAAAACGGTTGGTGAGTTGAGACTACTAAACAAAACAATAATGGGGATTGGATTTCTGCTAAACTTCATAAGCTGGTCGAGGGGTCCAGGATGTGTAGACCTACTATGTTCCCATCGTCTGAAAAGTCTGTTTACACCCGGAGAGGAGTCGAAAACATTGTCATGTAGAGTCATACGTATTAATATTTTCTGAATTTCTAGGAATTATCTCGGACGGAACAAACTACATAGGCTTCATGACCGTAATGGGAATACGAATCCAAGTATCTTGTCTGAGAAGTTACTATTCTGTTCCTCCGGTAATTTCACTTAAACATATTTAGAGATATCTCAACGCATATGGTCATAGTACCGATGACAAGGTATACTGAATTCGAATTTTGTAATTATTACTGATTACAGTGCAACAACGAATATCACCCGCTAATTCAGTTATCAATTTCAGCCTGATTATTCTTACCTTATATACTGGGACTACATGTCATATAAATGCGAAACCATTAATCTTTACTCAATGCCATCAACTTAACAGCGGTTTATTAGAATATGCTCATAATCCACCATTTTTTACCCTGATATTCTATGGACACTGCAAATCAGTTTCTGTTATATCATATCCTGCTTATTTTCACGATTTATTCCACTGTCATACTCAAAAACGAAATATGATTTATTAGTTTTGAAAAATATGTACGTTAGGTCTATCTCGATTTTGTTCTGTGAGTAGGAAAAAGCTCTATGGCGATGTACTACAAATGTGATGCCGAAAGAAAAGCAGAATAATGGAATAAAGTATTCGGATCCAAAGTCTTAACAATTCTCAACTGTTTGTTGTGGAACAGACAAAGGTATGGTAGATGTGTAGATAAAACTAATACTTACTCTGATTTCAAGAATGAAATTTAACTAAAGAGTCCTCAGATAGGAGAACACAGTAGTAAGTTACAAGGAGTTGTGATGTTTAGTAAGGTAGTTTGAATGATGAAGGGAAAGTAGGAGCTAGGATCAGGAAGGTTGTTCATTAAAGAGGAAGGTGAACCAGAAGTGAGCAAAGTGCTAATAACTACATCTTTTGTCGTATAACATTTTCGACTATTCTAGTCTTTTTCCTCCAAACCCAGTCACTTGGCCATAATGCAAGAGACTGCATTCAACACACACACTTAAAGTCAAAATTAGTGGACACGGGAACGCAGAATATAAGTGGTGTGACTCGGCCATTCAGGCGTGGCCGCAATGTAACGCATCTCTTTCCACAACAAATATGTTGTTCTATACCCAGCCTGAATCTTTCTTCAGAAGTGCTAAACATCATATTGCTGAGTGAACGATAAGAAGAGTCATTATTGTCAGTGATGTGACTTCCATGTGAGATCTAATTGATTAGGCAATCACAGTGTGACAAATCTACAAATTTCGGGGTCGGGTCTACTACTACAATAGCGAATATAAATGTACTAATTCCGAACTAGATCATAATTCTAATAAAGATAGTAATGGGACTTTCACGTAACATCTTACAGATTAGGCAATCGGAGGATAAATTTGACTTTATCGGACAACGTCTATTATTAAAGTAGTATTAGTACTGAATTTGACAATAATTACACATACTAGCAAGATTTATAATACAAACAATGTACAGTTGTTATATTTATATTTAGATAATTCATTATATAAATAAACATGGCAGTAGTCAATATGAAACTTAGTTATCGTTAGTTTGTAAATTTTTCTACCACATAATTTTTCATATTCAAAAATTCGCAAACTTGTTCACATGCATAGACTTAATTATTACAAAAGTTAGAGCCTTTCAATTACTTGACAGAAGTCATAAGTTTTATAACAAAAAACGTATGGATAGCTCGCCTAATCCAATTCTGAAAAACAACAAATCAATCATGAAACAAACGATTAGACCTCATGTCAGTATCAAATTCAATAAGTAAATGAAATAGCAACTGATAGGATGTACCTATAAGTGTCTTACTTGCTGTAAACAGTGATCTTCAATTTCTAACCTTCCCAGAATTTCATCTAGTTATTTGGTATTAACAGACAAACTTCAGACACAAACGAAGGAACTCAAAAAACTTTAATTAGTTATATGAACCTTGAGAAAAATCCCCTCACAAAGTTCATAATACTGTTAGCAGTTCACTGTTTACATACAATTATGAAATAACTGGTAAGCACTATTTAGAGATTACTCGTCAACATGCACTAAAACTTTGTTTATGATTTGGTCAGTGATTTCGGATTCTGTTAACAGAAATTCATATTTTAACCCTATACAAGACATAAACTAGTATTATCTACGACATGTTTTAGTTACTATGCTCACAACAAACACGCATCGCTTTACTTAAGAAGAGTATTTTGCTAACTTATGTGGCACTTACAGTAATGTTCTACACAATTCCTGCATAAATTCAGAAAACGGGCAAAAAATCTATCAACGCCAATTGTTACTGTCATAACTTTTTTTCCCACATTACGTAATAATATATCAGTCCGGTTGACAAGGATTATACTTATTATGGATAGAAGTGTTTACGACTGTATATTAATAGTTCATATAATAATGAAGCACATTATATATTGACGTTCACTTGGAAGCAGAGGCGATCTGAAACAGCAACATTACAGTCAGGACCGGTAAGTGTCGTTGAAGTAAGAGCACGGTGTACTGACACAACAAATATATTTTTAAAATTGAAAGACACGGTTCGAGTACAAAAGAGGAAACTTACTACAAAATAGTTTTATTCATTTTTCTGCTGGTTCTGATCACGTAATGCTTCTCCCTATTTTCCCAGTGTGTTTACTATTTGTTGCCCTGCAAAAGAAAAACAAACTCACATTAGAAACATTGCATGGAATGATTTTTACTACCATTACAATATTCATGAATAGTTTGACTCTCAATTGCTTCAATCTACAATTTATAAACAATTATCAACACCCATGTTCATCACTATCATAATAAGGGAAGTGAGTTATATGTACATGATTTTAGAGCTTATTTTTGCTCAAAATTATAATGTTGGTCTATGTTTGACTTGATAAATGGTGAATTTCCCTTGCCTGAGTTTGCATTGTTACAAATAACCAAATTACGCCGACTAAACATTCATCCAGGTTGTGAGCAACAAATACGTCAGGCAACCAACAGACTGCAATAAACGCCACGCGACAAGCATAAACATTACAAAAATTGACATGTTACGGTAAAATGCTGTGATTAGCTGATAATTAACAACATTACAAATCCGCGACATGTAACATATGAGCGAGAATCAATGACATGACTTTTCGACTGAGTCGAATTTTTTTGGAAATAGTCGAAAAAATCAGGGGTGATAAATATATCCATACAGCATTCTGAGAACATGAGCACCTTGATGACAAGTTTAAATGTCCAATTTTGTTTTAACGTTTCAACATACAGCTTGTAACTTAATCCTTATGTGTTAAGAATTCATAAAGTTTTGCTTTCCGCGTGGATATGAGGGTGAAAGTTGACCATTGGGACATTTCTGTCCTTGTTGTTTATTTGGTAGCTTTGCTGTCAGCTGGATTTTATGTAAGTTTCTTATTGGCTTAGATATTTATTACTCTTGGAATTCTCTTTTTGATGTTAAGCAAACGATTTTGAACAATAAGTAATATGAGTAGGTATTAAGGAAGGGATCACAAATCGTCAGGTGATTATATATATATGTTTTACTGGTAACGTTATCTTTTACGTAAGTTTCAAACGGCAATAACTTTAAACCAGTCTCCAAGACGACATCCAATCTTACATTTCAGTTACGGGTTATTCAGCTGGCGAGACTATAATGTGTGGACGAACCAATCAGGTATAGGATAACAGGTCTCGTGTTTTGGGGCGATATTTACCCATTCATTTGGATAATCGGAGTCGTGGTATTATAGCTGATGTCGGTTCTCAAGTTGTTGATTTCTATATATTGGATATGCCAATATGTTAGCTTAAAAGTGATATGCTTACGATAGAGAATTCATTTTGATCAGAATTTTCGGTATTCACGTTTTGCATCAACTTGACATTTATAAAAGCGCCCCTGTACTGTTTCTTCATGGTTTTAAAACTTATAGGTAGTTTAAGCATTTCTAGAGCAATTGACCTTCTGTGATCTGATTTAGGAAATGCTACTATATATTGTCAAATTATTTACATTCTCCAACTTTATAACACTGAAAATAGACTTTATTCGACTTTCTGGGCAGTGCATGATTGTACGTACCAATATGTATAAATTTATTTAAGTATTGTAAGCAGCCTTATCAACCTGGTTCAGTGTAGCTTTCCTTATATGCGTCAAAGTCATATGGTTCATTTCTCCTTCCCACTTGTGGTAGCTATGGATTATAAAACAGGTGTGTTTATTTATACTTGTTTTGTATAAAAAATGGATGCATGGCTTTAAACATGAAGTCAAAAGTAAGTATTTTCACTGAAATATTTGTTTCACCTCTTGACCGGGATTACAATATGACTAAAATAATCAGAACCTGAATCCATTAATGGTGAATGTTGTGTATACTGGACTGGTCGTTTTAATCCTGCGTTGACCAATATCAAGTGGATTGATTTTAGATATTCAATGAAGCTAATATGTTTTACTGGTTACAAAAGTCTCATATATGAAGATGTCTTCGGTGAAGATTTGATAGTAAAATGTTAGACACAAAAATATGTCACGCTTTTTATTTATAAAATTACTCAAGAGATAAATTTACCAAGTTTTAAACGTGCATTATTTGCTTCTTAAAATTCCGTCCATCAGAGTTTTATAATCGTCATTCACAGCAGTCTTATTTATTATTTTTATTATTTAAACACGTAAATATTAGTAAACGGAAGCACCAGACACATATGCGCCATACAAATCTCATTCGATTTGTGTAAGGGCTGTGATACTGCCCAGATTCACAAACTGAAGCAGGTGGTTTTCTTAGGCGGCCACACCCGGAGCCTTTGACCTGAATGTCTGATCCACAATGCAGTGGAGCATCGTGAGGACATACAGTCACATGGTAGTTGGTGACCAACGATTAATTCATACGCCATTTGTTCCTTCAGGATACTGGAGCCAGCCCATGTACACCATTGGTTTTGAATCAGGGTTTTTCCAACTTCCCTATGTGGACGCGCCGTGTCTACCAACCCGGTTAAAGCGCCAGACATTCGCTTTTTGTCCTCTCAACAACAGTAATGCCATGAGAAGGCAGTGAGTAGGAATTTTGTGGCAGAGGCTATATACGTGTGGTCATGTGAGAGCATTTGTAGAGGGAGAGCGGACTCTCCCCACTCTCGGCCGTACCAGGGCATTTGGGGCAGTCTTAAGCCCCTTTAAAATTAAACGGAATCGATTTATGTTATACTGTTAGCTGTAAAGACTTTTGAACACAATTTTAACTCATCTCTCTTAATGCGAGGACAGTGTCTTAAAATATCAGGGTAAAGTGATTTCATTTTAAGTGTTCTGAGTTATGGTTATGAGTGTACAGCACTGGTAACAGATAATTTGATAGTACCTATTACCTTTAGGTTCCAGCTATTATATCCAGCTGATTGAAAGAATTTTCAATGATCGGCGTTAGCTTGAAAAATTCTTAAAGTGAAGTTTTGTTATTGACCATGGGGCTCACAAATAAGTTTACATCTGATTTTACCAAACATGAGACGTCATAAATTGTATTGAAACGTCATCGTTTTATAATATGTTCAACCAATTTTTGTTAACAAACGGCTTATAAATAGTTGTATTTATAAATAAGCTACAAGTTCTTATAATCGGCTTCTAGCACCATATATTTTGTTGAGAATATTTACACTATCCATAAACTAAAACGAATGGATGCATGAATTTTTTCATCTTTAGACACAACGGTCAGAAACAGTCTTTAAATCAACAAGCCAGGGTTATGTGGTTGGCCCATTTGGCTCTCCGCCGCTAGGTTTGAAATTTGATACACCTGCTACAATTCTTGGACTTAACTATTTTTGACAATCATCATTAACGTCACCGAATTTTTGGTTTTAAGCTTAGAACACGAGTTTGTTATTATATATTTAGTTAGAATATTTTAAGTTTGAAGCTTGATATTGAAATATGTTCGGGTTTTGGTAGCCACAATAATTTGAGTTAATCTTTCTAACTTGTCATAACTACTGGATTGTCGCATATTTTTAATTATATCACTTAATATTTATCTCTATAGTCTCTATTTACTAATCGACGTGGAACTATTACTGACTACTTTCTAGCTGGACGATTTTTCACGTGGCTTCCGGTAAAACACCTTTGATTTACATGGTTTTCAGATTGGCGCCTCTTTATTTGCTACTAATGTTGGTAGTGAGCATTTTATTGGATTGGCTGGTTCTGGAGCAGCATCAGGGATAGCTGTTGGGGCATTCGAATTGAATGTACACTTTTGATTTTAATTTTGCGAATGCTTTTAGGCTTCAGTCATATTGCAACTACTGGGTTGGATTTTTCTTCCCGTTTATATTGCTAGTGGAGTAAATTTAACAGATTAGATTAATGCTTATTCAGGTCAGTACTCTTCCCGAATATATGAAAAAACGTTTTGGTGGAAACCGCATCCAAATGTATCTGGCTGTTATTTCTTTACTGCTGTACATTTTTACTAAAATTTCCGTGAGTTTCGTAGTCTTTCGCTTTTCAGGTAGATGCATTTGTTTAATTCTCAACAAATTTTGGCTCCATAGAAATACTTGTTTGGTTTTTCATGAGTGAGGACAAATGTGTCACTCGCAAGCAATATGTCCTTAACGTGCACGGTTATAAAACAGATGGTTTAAATCTAAATTATTTCATAGGTATATTTATCATGATCTAAAACTGGTGATCACTGTTCCCATAAATCTTATTCCGTTGTACTTCAGTTTCTCTAACTGGTTAGTATGAAAATCGCAATCTGTACCTAGTCACTGGGTTTTTATTCATCTAACCTCCAAACCTTCCTTAATAGACAGACACCTGTTAGGCATGTTTTAAAGACGATCTAATCACATGTAGTAAAACCTTTTCAGTTTATTGTATTGTATACCTTACATTTGTCATCATGCTCTTTGTTTAGCAAAAAATATGGAGTTGGTATGGTTCTCGGTAGAAAACGAGTATCTTTTAATGTACTTGAACGTAAACATGATTAGAAAAAAAACCAATGTCAAATTTATGAGGAAGCTTAGTTGTACTTTCATCCTTTGCTCCTGTTTCCAATTAATCACGTAGTACGCCAACGGCATGAGTTTATTTTTGGCCAGAGTGTATGGTTGAATAAGTGCTACTATCGGTATCTCGTGATCTGTTGTATAACACTCAATCCATTGTATGTTCAAGGAAATTAGGTGAATTAAAGAAAAGTGGACTGATATCTTCTATCAGTGTCAGCATCGGACTTGCACAACCTGCATTATATAATACTTTTGCCAATAACATTGATTTTGTTAATGCGGTATTTAATTCGTATATTTTTTGCTATTTTTCATTGTCTAAATTTTCTGGTTTGCTATTTATGAATAGAATATATTCACACTATTATTTGTACCCTTATGACTTTGAAACTCAAATCATTCAAATTTTATTCTGAAGTAAAATCTTTTAAATCCAAATATTAGTGTGATTCGGCTTACAACATTGATTAGACAATAGAGTTCATTGTTTTCATAGGGTTGCAATCATTGAATACTTGGATAAAATCTACTCTTTTGAGGCTAAATGTTGTAAAAATAATAAACTGAGTTTCATAATAGCGTCTAGATTCTCACAATTGCACTAGTCATATTAAAAGTGTCTATCATTTACAAGCATTTTTATTCTCATCCACTGAAATCTAGGTCAACGGTCAATATAATTAATGAGTAAATCTTATTTTGAAATTATAACCGATAAAAGATTCCAGATTTTAAGGTTCACTGTCTTAAATACACGTATACTTTATGCAGTCACTAATAACACTTGAATTTATTTATTTATTTGAACACATAAATATTGGTACAAAGGGGCACCGAATACATATGCGCCGCACAAATCGAATGAGATTTGTGCGAGGGCTGTGATACTGCCCGCGTGCCCAAACTGAAGCAGATGGTTTTCTTAGGAGGCCATATCCGGAGTCTTTTACCTAAAAGTCTGATCCACAATGCAGTGGAGCATCGTGAGGAGATGCAGTCCCATGGTAGCCGGTGATCAACGATTGATTCATACGCCATTTGTTCCCTCAGGGTCCTGTAGCCCATGTGCATTATTGGTTTTGAATCAGGGTTTTCCAACTCCCCTAGGTGGACTATCCGTGTCCATTAACCCGGTTAAAGCGCCAGACATTCGCTTTTCGTCCTCTCACTTTCGTAAACATTAGTAATGCCACGAGAAGGCAGTGAGTAGGACTTTTGTGGCAGAGGCTATATACGATGCGAAAAGCACTTTACTCCAATACTTGAAAGTAAACTCAAAAACCAGGTTTTTGTTTCATAAATTTACATTGATTAGAGGAGCTCTTACAAAGCCCAAATGTTAGTCACACTTCAAAAAATTAGGATAAAAGTTATTTAGAATTGTCTTTGTCTCCTTATAATTTCATTTTCGACATATGTCAGTTTTAGGAGAAAAAGATGAATAGTTACATTATTTTTGTAAAATTACATTTATTTCCAGGTGAATTTATACTCTGGCTCTCTGTTTCTAGCAGAAGCCTTAGAATGGAATACATGGTTATCAATTATTATACTTCTCAGTATTACAACGCTTATTACAGTAACAGGTTAGTTAATAGGGCACATAATTTTATAATCAACTCATTACTGGGCTCTTTTATTAGTTATGTGTCTTGACACTATGTTTTTCTTTTTGAACGCAAATAGCTGTAATATTTATCTATTTATCTACCTGACAGTTGGTTGTTTACAGAATTGTTCTTGGTTTTCATCTCTAAAAGTATAAATATGCAAATTTCCGGTTATATTTTGAGTGTAATATTGTATAAGTAGTTGTTATTTATTATTTATTTATTTAAACACATAAATATTAGTACAAAGTGGCACCGAATACATATGCACCACACAAATCTCATTCAATTTGTGTAAGGGCTGTGATACTGCCCAGATTCACAAACTGAAGCAGGTGGTTTTCTTAGGCGGCCACACCTGGAGCCTTTGACCTGAATGTCTGATCCACAATGCAGTGGAGCATCGTGAGGACATGCAGTCACATGGTAGTTGGTGACCAACGATTAATTCATACGCCATTTGTTCCTTCAGGATACTGGAGCCAGCCCATGTACACCATTGGTTTTGAATCAGGGTTTTTCCAACTTCCCTATGTGGACGCGCCGTGTCTACCAACCCGGTTAAAGCGCCAGACATTCGCTTTTTGTCCTCTCAACAACAGTAATGCCATGAGAAGGCAGTGAGTAGGAATTTTGTGGCAGAGGCTATATACGTGTGGTCATGTGAGAGCATTTGTAGAGGGAGAGCGGACTCTCCCCACTCTCGGTCGTACGAGGCCGTTTGAGGGCATAAATAGTTGGATATTACAATAAGAAGCTGATTAAGACCTTCAACGTATTTGAACATTTGATTTGGGTTCTTCTATTGATTGCCTTCAGTCATAGAATATTTTAATATTCTTCTAGCCTGAAATCATATCAGTTTTATGATTTTTGTTGGTTAATTATGGAATAACTATCTGTGTAATTTACAAATAAGTCAATTTCATCTTGAAAATGGAAAATGAACTAATTACTGTTTATTTTTTGACTTATTTATAGCTTCATAATCACTTCAAGCGTGAACTTTGTTGGTATACGTTTCAATTAACTTAGTTGTAGGTTACTGTCAACGTTATAAAACCTAACATAGTTAATTAGTCCCCTGGATCTAATTTGCATTTTAGATTATTCATCAGATTTTATAATTTATGTATTTTTGATGATAAAACTATCAGAATTAAGTTCATTTAGTATTGTTTGTTTGAATCTTCCCATCGATGTGTTAGGATTGCAACTGGTTAGCAAATGGCCATCAGGACTCAGTGGCCGAGTGGATAACGCGATGGTGTTTGAAGCGAAAGGTACTAGGTTCGAGTCCCAGTGTGAACATCAACAAGTCTAAGATGCAGGTACATCCAGCTGACGAGTCCCGAATAGGACGAAACGCGCGTCAAACTGGATTCCACTGCTAGTCACTATCCAACTTTGCTTATAAGAATTAAAGTCTTTTTCTTTGTAATTACTGAATTCCTTGTTTACAAATGGCTGTTGCATAGATCTACTGATTGACTGTGTAACGTTTGTTCTATTACTCAGTCGTGTACTAACTTAAAAAAAGTTTTTTTTTGTGTTGTTCTTCTTCCTGTCTAAGGTGGACTTGCTGCTGTTTTGTATACTGACACCCTTCAGTTTTTCGTCATGATCTTTGGTGCCACTGTGCTAACGATATTAAGTAAGTAAACTGGAGTTTTGGACTATTATTACTTTTATAGTAGGATGACTTAGTGGTCAAAGCTATTTGATATTTTTAACGATGTGAACTGATACACTTAATATAACATTAAACGTAATTCACTACTTTATAGACTTAGTCATAGTAAACTCAATCAGATTTGCTGGATAATTTCCACTGTCGCATTTCGAAGTCTTTAGAATAATAAATATTTGAGGCACTGACAGCCACTTTTTGAAGCGTTTTTTTCCAAGTTTACTTGGTTATAACTAAAATTCATTACAGGTTTTATCAAAGTTGGCGGTTTTCAAGGACTCCTTGGTGCATATGGAGGAGCCATAGCCGAAGTTAACATATCGTCTAGGGAAGGCGAAAACTTATTAAATACAATGATATTGGCAGTCAAGGAGAAAAATATAACATCATTACTCGAGTTATCTAGTGAACCGACAATTGATTCTCGTTTAAGATGCAGTCTCCCCTCTCGAAAAGCGTTTAGGTTATTAAGAGAGATAAATGATCCAGACATGCCATGGCTTGGTTTCTTGCTTGGACAAACTCCTTCTTCTATTTGGTATTGGTGTGCTGATCAGGTATCTGAATAATTTTATTATGTATATATATGTATATTATTATTATTATTATTAAAAGCTGTTTTGGTTGAAACTCTGGTACTTTTCTTAAAGTTACATTTGGTGCCATTTCATAAATAATTGAAGATGAAAAATTTATTATGAGTATTTACGGGAATAATTTCAGAAGGACAGACGGAGAAAGTGATTGTACTCTTTGTAATAACGGATACATAGTTGACCATAATTGTTTTTGGATTTCAACGGTAATCACATACATATTGACACAATGGGAACAACAGCACTAGTAGTATAATTGTATTCAGACAACCAGTAACCCCGCCTGTAGCCTGCTTTGCAGATGTGAGGGCGAGGATCAGCAAAGCAAGAGTAGCATATTTACAACTGAACAACATCTAGAACTCAAAACAATTGTCAACCAACACCAAGGTCAGAATTTTCAATACAAATGTCAAGACAGTTCTACTGTATGAGGCGGAGACGTGGAGAACTACGAAAGCCATCATCCAGAAGATACAAGTGTTTATTAACAGTTGTCTATGCAAGATACTTCGGATCTGTTTGCCAGACACGATCAGCAACAAGCTACTGTGGGAGACAACAAACCAGATTCCAGCGGAGGAAGAAATCAGGAAGAAGCGCTGAAAGTGGATGGGACACACATAAAGGAAATCACACTATCGCGTCACAAGACAAGAATCCTAAAAGTCGAAGAAGAAGAGGAAGACCAAAGAACACAGTACGCCGAGAAATGAAGACAGACATAAGAAAAATGAACAAAAACTGGATAGAACTAGAAAAGAAGGCCCAGGACAGAGTGGGTTGGAGAATGCTGGTCGGCGGCCTATGCTCTATTGGGAGTAACAGGCGTAAGTAAGTAATTAAGACAACCAGTAGTCCAGACAATAATCAATCAAATTAAAATGATGTGCTTAATCGTCATAAGGATTATAAAGATACAAGAGTTTGGCTCATAAAGCAATTACAACTAATCATTAGTCCGCTCCATTATTTCTAATTAATTCAGTATTTAGGTTTAGATAATTTGACTTAGCCATTGCACTTTAACCTTATCGTTTCCTCCTTGTGCAATTCAAACGCTGTTGGGTTAATCACTGTTATTTATATACACTAAAAATTTATATCCTCTTGTTTAAAAATCAGAAGTTAGAATGAGTCAACATTGTCAATGATCCCCAACAGCTACTGATTTGATCAATGAAAACACATTGTTTTAAAACTAGACTTAATGAGAGTGTTACTGTATCACACACCTTCAAGCTTCGTATTCTTGGAGTAATGATTCACATATTCATCTGTGTTTCACTTAGAAAAATACACTTATAAAAGAGATACGTTCCGAGATTCTAAAATTTACAGAGTTATGCAGATGTAAAACGGTAAAAGTCATTACTTGCTCTTTTAAGATCAAGTGTTTAAAACCAGTGTAACGCTCGATTCAATCATTCAACCTTTTACGAAAGTCAAGAGTTTATGGATTTGTATTCCACATATAAATAACTTTTTCTTATGAAGACAATTCTTAGGCCCACTAACTAAAGTATCATAAAAAGTTGATCGGAAAACAATAAATAGATACCTGGAACCTCAAAATGGCTTAAAAATATTATCACCTTAGATTTATTTCGTAAGCAGTAGTGTGGTGTGGGCTACTCATATCTACATAAGTAGTATATATCGTGAGTAAGGAATAGAATATCTGACAACAGAAGATTGAGAAGAGAAGAGCAGAAATAAAAAGCAATTGGTGCGGAAATCCAGGAACAATGAATCCTGAGACAATTAAAGAACATTTTGCAAATAGAGTATCAGAGTATGGTTTTTTTGTATTTTATCAAGCAACGTTGTAAGTTGTGCTGAACATATAGTCGGTTGTCCTTACCTGTGTTTTTATTCATTACAGTAGATCAGATTGTATAAATTAATAAATATGTGATTTGGTAACCATGATGATGGTTTACTGACAGACATTTTTTAAACTGTGAACTACAAAAAGATTTGTGAAGTCATTTTGTGAGTTTCTTTCTCTGAAGTATTTTGCAGAATGTTCTCGACTCCTATATATCAGTCACCGCAGATTAATGAACTTCATAAAATCCCCATTCCCCATTAGTGCAAAAAGCTTAGCGTAACTAAAAAATGCTTATGTTACTGAGTACTTTACATACAACTAACGGTTGTACAGCTTGATAGAGATTCAATGATAAACTGGTGAAGTAAATTTTGTGTTAATTTGATTATCAGTATTTTTCAGCTTAATCTTAGATTACTTTTTGGGGTAATAGTTAAATCAAACATACTAATACCAAAATTAAGAATCCATAGTAGTTTTAAGAGGCTAATGAGAAATAATTTTATTTACTAAGTTAAAAGGCTGATTAATACCCATATTAGAAGGAGGTTTTGTAGAGATTTCAGTAGTTTTATATAGTTGAAATCATGAGTCAATTGAATCTCGACCCTTATGGAAAACCTGGAAGCGCTGGACGGCCGTTGATAAACTTCGTGGATTGGTTGGCGTTAGACAATAACACCGTTGGATGCCGACCGGCTGAGTGGTTTAGTAGTTAAGTGCTCTGGCGCGAGACTGGTAGGTCCTGGGTTCGAATCTCGCAAGGCAGGATCGTTGATGTTCACTGCTGAGGAGTCCTAAAATAGGACGGAACGGCCGCCCAGTGCTTCTAGGTTTTCCATGATGGTCTAGCATCAATTGACTCATGATTTCAACTATATAATATCCATATTCTTAGTTTTAGCATCCAAAAAATATCAACTAAGATAAGTGTTCATGAATTCTGAGAAACTGGACAAAAACTTTGTTTTCCTTTTATTATTCTAATTTACAAATTCATTTGATTATATGGATAAAATGCAAGATCACAGTATACCATAAATAATAAATCGAAGCATGTACATTACTAGATACATTTGTAATGAAAATCTAAGCAACAAGTTTGTAAATTACTTTATTTATTCAAACACATAAATATTGGTATAAGGAAGCACCAGATATATACGCACCACACAAATCAAATGAGATTTGTGTGAGGGCTGTAATACTGCCCAGTTGCCCAAACTGAAGCAGGTGGTCTTCTTAGGGGGCTACGCCCGGAGCCTTTGATCCAAAGGTCTGATCCACAAGGCAGTAGATTGATTCATATGCCATTTGTTCTCTAAGGATACTTGAACCCATGTGAATCATTGGTTTGGAATCAGGGTTTTCCAACTTCCCTAGGTGGACTCACGGTGTCCACCAATCCGGTTAAAGCGCCGGACATTCTCTTTTCGTCCTCTCAATTTCGTAAACAACAGTAATGCTGTGAAAAGGCAGTGAGTAGGACTTTCTTGGCAGAGGCTATATAAGCGTGGCCATATGAGAGCATTTGGAGAGAGAGAGCGGTCTCTCCACACTCTCGGGTGTACCAGCGCATTTGGGGGCAGTTTGTAAATAATAAATTGTGATTTATGGACGGAGAAACAGATTCAAACAAATAATAGGTAAAGTAAAAGTTTACAATCATGAACTGATTGTTTAGTAAATATATATCACTCAAATAATCGTTTTCAAAGAATGATTTCAGTGATTGTAACCAAGTGATAACTTGGTACAAATTCATCATGTTTTTAGTACAAAATGGGACATGGATAAAGATGGGCAAACATTCCTGATAAGATTTTTTTATATTTTTTTTAGTTATATAATGATAAACTTATGGTCTCAACTCTAGTACACAATAATAAGGGGAGTAGATAAATAGGATTAATGGATTATCGATTAAATGAATAAGAGTTGACTAAAGAATCTACCAACACTGGATGGTTTGTATTGAATTCCATTGTTTATTGTTTCACTTATTTCAAAATCAGAAAAGGGGGTTTTACGGAGATTATGGTAATTTAATACTTAAATTGATGAGTCAATTGAAGCTAGATCACCATAGAAAACCTGGAAACACTGAACGGTTGTTTCGTCCTAGTATGTGACTCCTCAGCATTGAATATCCATTATCCCATCCGCGGGATCGATTTATTAATAAATCTACACACATAGGATAATCTTAAAAGAGTATTTTAGTGGATTCTGTATTAAATATATTCATGATTTTCAGAAAACCCTTAGTAGCTTTTTGCTTTAAATCACATAGTAGTGCCTTGTTCTTAATTCTCAATTTCATGTTGATGTTAACTTCTAATTATTTCGTTTATATAATGATTTTGTAACAAAAGTTTGTTATCTTCTACTCTTCTGTACAACAGCATATCATCACTGCTGATTCAAGGATTATTTTGTTACACATGAACTTCAGTTGAATAACGATCGATTATCAAGAAGGTTTAAATAGTTTTTTTCTAGTTATTTGATTTTCGCTACCAGTCTACGCCACTTTTACAGTGTCTAGGCTGGATTTCGAAAGCCGAATCTCCAACCCTAATCATCATATAATTTAATATGATCTATTTTCTGTTAACTTTGGAGTTGTTGTTGTTGTTGTTGTTGTTGGAAAGTGAGTGGATATTTGTCGAAAGTAAAACTTGTTAGAATTTAGTATAGATGGTTTCGATTAGCTGTGGAATCGGCTTTCTCAATAATTCATATCAGCTTTAAAGAACTAGAAATTAATTGACTATTAGAAACCAAGAAAATTTGTGTAGAGTAAGATTTTGGTTCATTCTGATTACTTACTTACTTACTTTCGCCTGTTACTCCCAATGGAGCATAGGCCGCCGACCAGCATTCTCCAACCCACTCTGTCCCGGGCCTTCCTTTCTAGTTCTATCTAATTTTTGTTCATTCTTTTTATGTCTGTCTTCATTTCTCGGCGTAATGTGGCATAACGTGAAGATGACTTTTTAGAATTCTGTATATTGTAAAGGTCCATAAAAGATTTAGAAATGATGAAATATTCTAGTCTTAAACTCTTTCTGACTTAAAGATTATGGTTTGCATTGGTATTGACGTTTACTAAGTTTAAAGAATAAAACATGAGAATTGTTATCACACTCGGATATATCGCTGTCATCCTCAATGAAATCTCTACTGGGTTTTGTTACTGAAATTACCATAGTGTTCAACTAGTTTGAAGGAAGACTGTACAACATTAGGTAAACTTTAATCTTGTTACAAAGATCCCGTTTTCCCACATGACATTTTTTAAGTTACCAATTTTAGTACCTTACCAAATTAATCTATCAGTTGATCAGGTCATGAATCTCCATCGACTGAGATGGTTAGGCCACGTGTTACGTATGCAGGAACACCGATTACCACGACGAGCTATGCTGACTAGTATTGGTAATCGTCGGAAGAGAGTTAGTGGCGGCCAAACCTAAACGTGGGATCAGTCCACAAGGTCACTAACTTCTAGTATAAGCCATGTTGGTAGATGCAAACTACTTGGTATGGGTCCGCGTGACTATCGTAAACAATGATTGGAGACTGTGGGTGTCATGGATCAAAATCGATGTATACACCTTTAAACCTTGAGACTAAAATTCCTTCATATCTGTCTTCCTTACTATACTATATCCTTATATATGACCTTTGTTCATCTTGTTGTGCTAACGAGTGAGGTATGGTAACTTGGACCAATGCATAAATGTGCCTGGTCCTACGTTGTAGCTGACTGACTGACCAAATTAATCTGCTTAACTTTAGTATCTGAGTGTTAACTAAGACTAGCTATTGATCAAAAATGTTTCCAATAGTTCCTTTGATTATACACTCATCGTATAACATTTTTGTGGTATAATCTATTTCAATTTTAGATGATGGTTCAGCGTACATTGGCAGCAAAGAGTTTATCGCATGCACAAGGTGCAACATTAATGACTGGATTAATAAAACAAATTCCAATTTTTATTATGGTTATTCCAGGAATGATAAGCCGCGTATTATATCCAAGTAAGAAAATACATTCATCTATCATAAATTTTTCAGTAAAAAATGATCATGGCTAAATTTTATGACATTTTCTCCAAATTATATATTTAGAATTAGGTATTGTTGTGTGGGCTACTTATATCCATAGAAGTAGTATATAACGATCGTCGAGCATTGAATGTATTTCAGTAGAAGATCGATAAAGAGAGAACGGGAACGGGACGCAATCGGTATGAAAATGCATGAACAATAAAATAAGAGAAGATGGACTGATATTTATAGAAGGAACAGTCAAGATTGAGACAATTGATTGATAGTTTGATGGTTGTAAGACTGTAGTGAGATAGTTTGTAATTACTTTCGATACATTCGATTATCCCCACTTATGTTCTTGTTCACTACAGTATCACTTTGATTATGTGACTCAAGTAAGATAAATACTTAGTGAGTGTGATCATCAAATAATCACTGAATAGTTGACATAAAATAAACATTTCCAAAATCTTATATAGTTGAGATCATAAGTCAATTGAAGCTAGACCACCATGGAAAACCTGGAAGCACTAGACGGCCGTTTCATCCTATTGTGGGATTCTCCAGCAGTGTGCATCCACGATCTCGCCTCGCGAGATTTCCAAAATCATTACCTTCATATTTCTTCAACATGACTTATGAATGCAGAATCATAGAGTGATCAATCTCTCCACTGTTCTCAGGTACAAGAACAGTTTTAAGAGTTTTATCTTTTTAACTATATCAATCAAGATGCATGAATCTTATATTCTTTTTTGCTGTCATAAATTTAAGCTATTTTCATATTATTAAGAATCCTTTGGATGAAATAGATTTAATTTATTCTTAGAATCTCGTCGTTCTTACTATTTTTAAAATTATCTGGAAATTATGATTCATGAGAAGTTTATTTATTTATTTCAACACATAAATATTGGTAGAAACGGGCACCAGACATATAATCTCATTTAATTTTTGTTAGGGCTATGATATTGCCTGGGTGCCCAGACCGAAGCAGGTGGTTTTCTTAGGGGGCTAAACCCCGAGCCTTCAACATAAAGATCTGATCCACAAGGCAGTGGAGCATCGTGAGGAGATGCAGTCTCATGGTAGCCGGTGATCAACGATTGATTCATACGCCATTTGTTCCTTCAGGATACTGAAGCCCATGTGCACCATTGTTTTGGAATCAGAATTTTCCAACTCTCCTAGGTGGACTCTCCGTGTCCACCAACCCGGTTATAGCGCCAGACATTCGCTTTTCATCCTCTCAGTTATGTAAAAAACAGTAATGCCACGAGAATGGAGTGAGTAGGACTTCCTTATCAGAGGCTATATGCGCGTGGCCATGTGAGAGCATTTCGAGAGGGAGAGAAGACTCTCCCCACCCTCGACCGTACCAAGGCATTCGGGGGTTATTTTATCAGTGCACTTTACGTTAAGTCATCTACTTGATGATATCATATCCCAATGTCTTCACTGAATAATGTTACTAAAAACATTATATTTTCCCCAATCCATTTGTAATAAATGAAACATTTTCATTTTGATTTTTGGAAATATTGACTCTACTGACATTTTATTTCAGTGGTCTTAACTTGCAATTATTTTGTCGGTTAAAACAAAGAGTTTTCGATCCAAGTGAAAAGTTACTACATTTTATTAGTCAAATACATAGAGAGTTCATTAACACTTAATACTGTAAGCAGTTAATAGCAACAAAAACACTTGTGCTAAGATAATTGAATCGTTAGGGATTTCTTGGAGAACTAATTTATTCAATCTTGAGATGTCTGGGACACGTGTTACGTATGCCCAACCACCGATGGCCCGACGTGCAATGTTTTATGGTGTAGGAGTAGGTTGGAAGAAAACTAAGGGCGGCCAGACCAAAAAGTGGCACAAATCCATGAAGTCACTGACAAGTGGACTGAGCCATCTTGGTAGGTGTAGACTACCTGGTTGGGATTCGCGAGACGACAGCAACCGATGGTTAGAGACCTTGAATGACATGGTGCGAAGTCGTTTGCAATGACGCAGGAGCATCCATTCTTTGTGTTCCTCCAAATTCTAATCTTCTGAATTCCTCGTGCCCCTATCCTTTTTCTCTTTCCAAATTTATTTCACTGTACCATACTCCTTAAATAACATCTTCAAACCCTAATCTTTCAGGTTACTGTTTATACTCTTACTACTTCTACCACTATGGGATTTGAATCGACAACTGCATCTGTGTGCTAACGTGGTATGGCAACTCGAACTGATGTACGTATGTACAAAATTCTACGTTGTAACTGCCTGACTTATTTATTTAAATACTAAAACAGTTGATTTCGGGTTTCGTAGTTTACACTAACTACACTTGATGTTCGTCGAGTCCTTTAGTATTGACTGAATTCTGTGGATTAAATTACAATGTAGCCACTAGTCTCACTGGTTCGGCATTTCATGCTCTACGTTCCTATGTTAGGCGGTTAAAGGTAGTCAACAAGAAACCCTAGACCTGGTTTTTACACTGTCGAAAACTCATCAGCAAGGTGTACCTGCGATCCTGAGGAAGCTGATGGTCTCTAGCAGATCCGGGCTCGCGTCACTCGGCTTCGTAGTTCGAAATGTTGCCGTTGAACTGTTCGAGGTGTAACTGACTCTCTGTACTAGTAAGATATTTACAATTGGTTGATCATTGAATAGTGACTAGTGCTATGTTTATCTCATCCTTTAGATAACTGATTATTACACTGAAGCGCGTCAAACAGCACGAATAATAGGTCCAGATTTTCATACTGATTACCCGTATCCACCCGACAGTTTATATTTATTATAAGCAAATCATGTCTTTAAACAAAAGGAGGCTAGTAATACCTTAGTGTTTCAAACTTATCAACATTTGATTTCAGTGTCTAGCTTTCGTTACCTTTAATCTGTTCTTTAGAAGCTTTCACTTTTACGAATAGTATGTTTCTCGTTTTTGTTTTGTGAAGCGTGAACGATAACACTAGAAAGTTCACAACATTTCACACAACTCTAGTTTGTTTACTGAGCTTTAAAACACTTAGATTATGAATTAGGTAAGGAAATTGACAAAAGTCCAGACTGGAGCAAATGCGTTAGGATTGATAATTTGAAAGTCTATTTTCTTAACAACAAATCCCTGTTTCAATCAGTTAACATCTAGCACCTTATACAACGAATCCTGGTAAAAAAACAGTAAGTTATTATGAAACTGTAAATCACTTCTTTCTTGCAAATAAATGACATTTAAATTTATTTTTTTCTAGATGAGATTGGCTGCTTCCCTGGTTCTGATTGCCTTAAAGTTTGTGGACATCGTAATGGTTGTTCAAATATGGCATATCCAAAACTTGTGATTGATCTAATGCCTTCTGGTATGTTACCTTTACTTTTGTGTATAAATGAAAAGTAATTTTCTCTGTGAACTATTTAATTACTACCTGATTACCATGGTTTTACTCCTTTATATGAGGTTTGGTTGAAGAATGATGTTGGAACTCACAAAAGGGGAGTTTAAATACTATTACGAACTGAGTTTCACGAATTCTGTCAGCACACTCACAGGCTTGTTCGAAAGATGCACTGATATTACCTGTGACATTAATTTTAACTGATATTAGTTGATCATTAGGTTCTGAATTGTTTGAAATTTGAAGTGATGGATATTGATTTAGGGTCCAGGTGTATACAAAAAGCATTGGACTGTAAGTATATTTAATTGATCAATCCAAACTATGAAGAAATAAGATCACTGAATTGCAGAATTAGATTCGTCACCTTTTTCTGATGTTAGAGGTCATTAACATTTGTCTATCTACTTTTATTTAATTTGGAAGAAATTTCAAAATTACGTCTAGGTATTGTTTTTCCACTTAACTGAAGTCTTTGTGCATGTTTAAGAGTTTCTGCATGTTCGATTGATGTATGTTTACAAATGTAACTTCTTATCTGTCATTTCAGTAATACGTTAGTTTTTAGTTAGATGCAAAGTGGAACACGTTAAATTTATATAATATACCCTCGTGGGCCAAGGTTATTTTGCATTGGTTTTCAGGAGAACTAGACACCATCCAGACTTTCACGTGATAACCCAAACAGTACAGCTCAATCCTGTTTAACAGGAGAGCCAGACACTGCCCTCTGGATTAACCCGAGCAGTACAGCTCGATCCCGTTTCGCAAGAAAACCAGACACTGCTCAGGCTTAAGCCGAACAGTACAGCTCAATCCCGCCCTACAGGAGAACCAGACAGTATAAAGGCTTCAACGTTATAGTATGAACAGTACAGCTCAATCCTGTGGCACAACCACACAGGCACCAAGCACCATGGTAGGCCACTCGCACCATTCATGTACACATTCACATCACATGTATAATTATTCCGATCAATGATCGCGCAGATCGATTATTCACAGAATGAACAGGCCAAAGTTGACCCGTTCCGCTTACATGACAGTCAAACTCATTACTGTTAGCAATGTCAACATACCTTATAATACTCCAATGACAATAGCCCTTGAGAACACTGAAAAGCAACCACCATTATAAATGAAATCGGGATACTACCCCCGAACGCAGGGTCTGGAAAGTCGGAAAAATCAAAATTTCGCAAACGCGATAAAAATTATCTTGGTGGTCTTGTATTAGTATTCCGACACTAGAAAATGGGTTTTAAGCGTTCTTTATGCCCTAACGCTTCAGGCTCCGCTATTTGGCTTACTGAAATCTGATTGTTGATCTATCAAGTTTACGTTTTGTTTTTGATTATAAGCACAAAAGATCTTCAATTTTGTACTTCTGAAAATTTTTTTTCTTTGAATATGGCGAAGTTGTCATCTAAACACTTAAAAATGGAGAATTAAGTTACGCTCGTGAACTTTAAACACTTAATACACTAATTTACTTTTTCTAGTTAAATAAAAGAGAAGTCAATACTTGCAGAGGATAGTTCCTTTGTCAGTTAGTCAGTCAGCTACAACATAGGACCAGGCACATATATTGCATCCGTCCAAGTTGCCATTCCTCATTAGCACAACAAGATGAACACCGGATTCATAGAAGTAGTTAATTAAGTCGAACGTGTCAACAACTTCACTTATCTTGGAAGTCTGATCAGCCCTAATGGGTTGGTATCTGACGAAATCTCAGCACAGATTCAAAAAGCTCGTTTGGCTTTTGCCAACCTACGTCACCTATGGCGAAGACGAGATATCCGTCTATCAATTAAAGGACGAGTATACTGCTCAGCAGTAATTTGTAGAGATATCTTGATAAGTTTTAGTTTTTATTATGAATGTTTATTTCTTTAAATTTCACCTGAAACATTTTTGAATATTTCACTTTCTTCAATAACAATAATTAGGTCTCAGAGGTTTAATGTTAACTGTAATGCTTGCAGCTTTAATTTCCGATTTAACATCAATTTTTAATTCTTCAAGTACATTATTTACTGTGGATATATATCAAAAATGGCGAAAAAATGCTCAAAATATTGAATTGATGATTGTCGGTCGGTGAGTTTATTTATTTATTTCAACACTTGAATATTGTTACAAGGGGACTTAAATACATATACAACACACAAATCTTATTTGATTTGTGTGAGGGCTATGATACTGTCCGGGTGCCCAGACCGAAGCAGGTGGTTTTCTTAGGGTGCCACACCCGGAGTCTTCGACCTAAACATCTGATGTACAAGGCAGTGAAGCATCGTAAGCAGATGCAGTCCCATGGTAGCCGGTCACCAACGATTGATTCATACTTCATTTTTTCTCTCAGGATACTGGAGCCTATGTGCACCATTGGTTTGGAATCAGGGTTTTCCAACTCTCGTAAGTGGACTTGCCGTGTCCACCAACCCGGTTAAAGTACCGGACATTTGTTTTTCGTGCTCTCAATTTTGTAAACAACAGTAATGCCTCGAGAAGGTAATGAGTAAGACGTGTGTAGCAGAGGCTATATACGCGTGGTTTATGTGAGAGCGATTTGAGAGGGAGAGTGGACTCTCTCCACTGTTGGCCGTATCAGGGCATTTGGGGGTCGGTGAGTAATTAACACGATAGTGTTTATTTCGTAAAATGTCTTTATGATGTAACTTGTTAAGCGAAAATAAAACTAAATATTCTAATAACTCATACAAAGTATTCAATAAATATATCTGTCCTAATGATATAACTACAGCCTTGAAAAAACTATCCTACATTCAATAACTTGAATTAAGCTTATCTGCAATTGTTCTATCTTGTGGCCGAGTGGATGACTAGTTAATGTATGACGTGATAAGACCGCCAATCAGGGAGCAGCGAATTATCGATTGGAACAGTGACACACGAAAACCTTACGAGCAGTTTAGAGTGCTAACCGGTCCTGCAATCTGCCCAGTCCAGCCAGTTAACTCCAAAACACCAATTACAGCCTCGGCAATATGAATCATTATTCACGAACATACTGGGCTTATATACAAACCAAACAGACCACATCGTACCAAAAAAAAAGAAAATAACATTTGTACAATATTTAGCCAAATGGGGCTGTGAATAGGAGGGAAAGTAATCAATAAACTGATGATAACTCAAGAATCGTATAATAATAGTTCAAAGGTCAAAATAAGCTAATGATAAGAGGAATACGAATATGATTAGGTTAGTTATTTAACAATTATACAATAGAAAATATACATATTACATTGGTCCACAAAATTAATCCTCAAAAGTTACCATTCACAATTCTCTTCGGGATACAACAGCAATCCACTTGGACAGATCAGATAAACAGTATTTATATAGGGATCCTACACATTTACTATCTATGCCGATAACGCTCACTGTTTGAAGAATTTTTATGTAAGCCGACCATAACGTTAAAGATATTTTTTGCTAAGAGCAATTACTTAATTGACTAGATTGTGAGTGATCTACGGAATTATCGTTTATGATATATAATTTCATTTCAATAAAGTAATTTCATAATTGAGTGAATTAATTATGTCTGTTAGTTTATAGCCAACCATTGATATTGTAAATTCATGTTCATATAGCAAGTTATTGAAAAATTAACAATCGGTTAAGTGCTCTGGTGCGAGACTGGTAGGTCCTATGTTCGAATCTCGCGAGTGCGGGATCGGGGATGCGCACTGCTGAGGAGTCCCATAATAGAACGAAACGGCCGTTCAGTTATGTCAGGTTTTCCATGGTGGTTTAGCTTTAATTGACTCATGATTTCAACTATGAAAATACTGAAATATCCACAAATCCCCTTTTGATCTAAAAAATTAATATCAAGTGATACTCAGTGGTATTTAAACATCGTCTGAGTGTTTCTATTAGCGCCGTGCAATTCAATGTAGCAGGTACCAGTTTTCTACCGTTATATCAAAAATTCACTTGACACATTTTGGGAATCTACTTATTTATGTTCTATAAATTTACGTGAACAACGGGTTAAACAGTTTTCTAACTATTATGGAACTAGATGCACATTCATTTCAGGTCGAGGTTAATACCTAACACTTGTCAGCTTCAAACAATACACTTAATATTATTCAAAACTATGATTGTAATCGCTTTTAACCTTTTCAAATCCTTAAGTAATTTTGACGGCTATCTAAACATGAAAAGTAGACCATAGTGTATCTAGTAGTTAGAAAGGTTTAAGAAGTGATTTGATTTTTTCTAAAGTTTTCAATGATGAAGGCCTGGGTTGGGACGTTTGAAAACATTCTTCCGTTCAATAACACCTGGTCTCAATGACACATACTTTAGCTTACATGGAAATTCCTGAAAGTTCCATATTTGGATCTAAAAAACAATGACCTTCAAACACTGGCATTCTATATAGAATTGGTATGAATACAAAGCTCATAAACGTATTTATCATTGGCTGATTGCAGGAATTATTAAGTAATAAAGCCTTGGAAATCTAAAAGTTTTGTTCATTTTCACAAATGAGAAAGAGTTATGGTGACGTTTCCAAAAAGTTGAAAAATCTCATATATGTCTTTGATAAAAACTTCGAAATGGCTTTACGAGACTTTAAATGATCACGTTCCATTTAGGAAGATTTTGAACAGTGTTATTCAGGTAAGATGGTGGTTGGAGGTGATCAACAGGAAACCCTGGACCCGGGTTTCGTGCTACTTGGCACTCGTCAGCAAAGTGTGTCTGTAATCTTTAGGGAAATGGTGCGCCCTGACGGATTCGATCCCGTGTCACCTAGCTTCATAGTTAGAGACGCTACCACTGAGTTATCCTGGACACGACCGACCTCCTGTAGAACTGAAACCCTGGACCCGGGTTTTCCTGTTGACCACCTCCAATCACCATCTTATCTCAACATAGTGCACAAAGTGTCGAGTCACCTAGACTAGTGGCCACACTGCAACTTGGTCGGTAACATTCGATCTGCACTAAGAAGGACTTGATACACATGAGATTGATCACCACCCGATGATCAATCAATTATGATTGATATTCAGGTCTAACCATGCAATACTTAATGTAAAATATCATAAAATTGGCTGTACATCATACCATCGATTTTCTATCACACTAAACGCAATTTCATTTAATACTTTATTTGGCTATTTATTTACGGTTTATTGCATATTTAACTTTTACGGATCCATTGTATTTACCTATTTATTTACTTTCAGTGTGTTTATCGCAGTACTAGTCGGGTTAAGTGTTGCATGGATTCCAATAATGCAACAGTCTCAAGGAAGTGAACTGTATATCTATATTCAAGCGATTGCTGCCTACCTTACACCACCTATAGCATCAGTGTTTTTATGCGCTATACTATGGAAACGGTGTAGTGAAAAGGCAAGTTATATATTTTACAGTTCATTATTCGTCTAACTAGGAACCTAACCATTTGAAACGTGTTGTGGGGTAATTTTAGAATAAAAGATTTGATATAAAAGATGGTTTAAAATTTTCTACTATAATAGTACGTTAATTACGATAATGAGACTAGTCACGTTGTATCAGAACCAGGATTCATGGCCCAGAATAGAGAATTAGAGTATAAACTAGATAGTACGTTATTCAACACAACTACAAGCATTCAGTCTTAGTGAGTTAGGAGTAGAAATCAATAAAATGAAGGGAAATCATATATTTAATAATCAGTGTGTTGTGTCTGTTTGTTCAAGCTGTACGACAATTCATATTTTTCTACATTCACTACCACATATCACTGTTCTAGAAAACTTTACATTTATCTTACATATTGTGTACTGAGTGTGATGAAGTATTGTTGATAATAGGTATTGAGTGTTGCCCCCAAATGTCCTGGTACGGCTGAGGGTGAGTAGAGTCCGTTGCCTCTCTCGAAATGTTCTCACATGGCTGCGCGTATACAGCCACCGCCAGGGAAGTCTTACTCATTGATTTCTCGTGGCATTACTGTTGTTTACAAAATTGTTTTAACCGGGTTGGTGGATATGAAGGATCCACCTAGGGAAGTTAGAAAACCCTAATTCCAAACAAATAGTGCACTTGGGCTCCAGTATCCTGAGGGAACAAATGACTTATAAATCAATTGTTGGTCACCGGCTACCATGGGACAGCATCTCCTTACATTGCTCCATTGCCTTGTGGATTAGACCTTTAGGTTGAAGGCTCGGGATATGGCCCCCTAAAAAACCACTTGCTTTGGTCTGGGCACCCGGACAGTATCACAGCCCACATACAAATCAAGTGACTTTTGTGGCGCATATGTATTCAGTGCCCCTTTGTATGTGTTCAAATAAGTAACAAATAATAGTACTGAGTGTTACAAGTTTGGACATCTAATTGGTCATGGTTATCCTCTATCTAGCCAACAGATAAATGTAAACAAGCTCAAGTATTCATTTGAGTTATTCTTGTTTATCTCTTATTCTTCTATACTAAATAGACCTGTTGCTGGAAATAACAATCTCTTCGACTGAATTTACAGGAATTGATCTCCTACCATAGGGACCACTAAGCGATTTAGAATACGCAGATGACATAGTCCTGTTTGGTGAAGACGCTGGCAAAATGCAGAGTCTTCTGTTGGAACTGAGTAATAATGCCAGGATGTTTGGGATGCGTTTCTTCCCATCCAAATGTAAATTGTTACTCCAGGACTGGCCTGCGTCAACACCCGAACTAAGGATAGGGAGTGAAGTAGTCGAACGCGTCGACAACTTCACTTATCTTGGAAGTCTGATCAGCCCTAATGGGTTGGTGTCTGACGAAATCTCAGCACGGATTCGAAAGGCTCGTTTGGCTTTTGCCAACTTACGTCACCTATGGCGAAGACGAGATATCCCTCTATCAATTAAGGGACGAGTATACTGATCAGCAGTTCGCTCTGTTGTGAAACATGGCCATTAAGAGTAGAAAATACTCGTAGGTTACTAGTATTTGACCACAGATGCCTTAGAAATATTGCTCGCATCTGCTGGGATAACCGGGTAAGTAATAGTGAGGTTAGACACAGGGTATTGTATTGGAGAATAATGGTAAATCAGTTTATGAGGTCATGAATCTTCATCGACTGGGATGGTTGGGCCACGTGTTACGTATGCCTGAACACCGATTACCACGACGCGCTATGATGACTAGTACTGGGGATTGTTGGAAGAGAGTTAGTGGCGGCCAAACCAAAACATGGCATCAGTGTTTGAAGTCACTAACTTCTAGTCTGAGCCATGTTGGCAGATGCAGACTATCTGGTTGGGGTCCGCGTGACTATCGTGACCAATGGTTGGAGACTGTGGTTGATATGGCTCAGAATCTATCACAATGGCGTAGGTGTATACGCTCTTTATCTTCCCTTAAACCTTGAGATTAAAATTGCTTCATAACTTTTTTTTCCTCCCTATACTATATCCTTCTATACAACCTTTCTTGATATACTACTACCACCACTAAATTAATTACTTCTATGAATCCAGTGTTCATCTCGTTGTGCTAGCGAGGTATGGCAACTTGGACCGATGCATAAATGTGCCTGGTCCTATGTTGTAGCTGACTGACTGACGAAATACTATGAGTCATAAAGGTGCTTTAGGCGGTTTACTTGTTACTTTTTAGTCACTATTAGATAAATGTCAACCACTATTCACGACTTCTTGAACAGAGACCTTTCATATATATACATACATAGCGATTAGAGAAGCGAATACAACTTTTCAAACACTGAGGTTTTAGTAAGTTAATTGACAGTAAAATAGGTTTAACTTATAGTACAGAGAGGCAAACTGTACAACAACACTGAGTTACATATTGGCTATTTACATTTTTTCAAGGTTCATGCCAAAGTATTATGATGATTCACTAGAACGGATGAATTCGGAGTGCTTCCATTGACCCATGTGATAAACATTCATTATTTCAACTGATTATGAACTTGATCATTGTTGAAATTCGAAACATAATCATGTCACTGTTTTATCACTTCTCTATTCAAACAGTACTGATGATTTCCCAGCTTGCTCTCTTAGTCGCTTTATTTTTCAAAACAGGGTTGGTCTGATGACGATTTTATCTCTTTCTGACGTTACTTGGCAAACCATTGGAAATTAGGAAGCAGTTTTCAACAGTTTTCAAGTCTTTGTTTTGAATTTCTAAACTGTTAACAAACCAAAGCCTCTATTCACTTAGCATTACTTGTTTGAATCTTCCCATTGGTATTTAGGACTGCAACTGGTCAGTCTCTTATTGGCATATGTGCATACTGTGTGTATTGCCTTAATTCACAAGCATTGTAAGCAAAGATGGATAGTGGCTAGCAGTGGAATCCAGTTGGACGCGCGTTTCGTCCTATTTCGGACTCGTCGGCTGGATGTACCTGCTTCACCCCATTTCATAAGCAAGTGGCTATCAGTACTCAGTAGCTGGGTGGATAACGCGATGGTGTTTGAAGCGAAAGGTACTGTGTTCGAGTCCCAGAGTGAACACCAACCCTGAGATGCAGGTACATCCATCTGACGAGTCCGAAATAGGACGAAATGTGCGTCCAACTGGATTCCATGGCTTCTAGCCACTATCAATCTTCGCTTACAAAGCCTCTATATTTAATAGCGAGCGACTTATCATTAAATTGTTAGTTTACGAACTGATTATCCAGATTTAACAAACGAAATTGGTTCGGAATATAGCATAATTACCATCCCATCTAATCAGTGATCTTCTACTCATTTAACTGATAAAGATAAGTGTCTTGTTGAATGGTAATTTAATTAGATTTTTCAATAAAAGCCTTATTCTTTCATGTGACCAACCACCATAGATTTATCATTTATTTATTTATTTGTTCTTTCATGTTTCCCAAATGAAAGACTTCTTATTTGTTCATATTTACTCCCTAAAGGGCGCTTTTTTCGGTCTCATTTACGGACTAATCATTGGTTTTCTTCGAATGATTCTTACGTTTGTTTATACTGATCCAATCTGTGGTGAAGAGGATATACGACCGTGGATTATTAAAAAGATTCACTATATGTATTTTGCTATGTTTTCATTTGGATCTACAATTATTTTAGTTGTAATTGTTTCACTCTTTAGTGAATCACCAACACAAAGTCAATTACATCGATTAACATATTGGACAGCTTGGGATTCAAACAAGGAAGACTTTGATAAACAAATGAATCATCCATCCCTTTCTATTAACTCTCAATTACATATTGACGATAATGTCTTAACTGTACAGGAAAATGAGTCTAAATCCGATTATGTATCAGAATTAGGTGAGTCTAAATAGATCTATTTCTATTTTAACGAGAGTACTCTGTTGTTGATGACGATTTCAATTTATTTTTCATCTACTGTTACATAACCAAATGTTACACCGTTTATATATCCTGACATTAATGCAGACTAGTCTCGAAGCAATATTTGCACTTCGAGGAGAAGGTGCGTATATCAAACATGTTAGGATTGTTGTTCAAGATGATTTAAATACGGCATCTTGTCAGTGTCTTTGCCAAAGAGGAATATTTCATTTGTGCATTCAAAGTCAATAGATGAATCTTATGGATGTAGATCAATTCCTGAAAAATCACATCACGAGGGAGTTAGTTCTAAAAGAATGTCTATTAAATAGTGAAGCAAGAACGGAGAAAGCAGACAAATAATGAAACCAACTAGAAGTTAATGATCCTAGTGAGATTTCTCCACAAAGTTTAACTCGACCATTATTTCTGGAATAAAGAGCATTTACGAGGTTAATATACGTCTTTGATAGGGCTTCCAGAGACAGTTTGTGCCTTAAAGACGTGTTGATCAATAGGGCCGAATCCTACCTTGAGGTCAAGAAATACAACTGTAGTTGGGAGTCAGTAGGTATGTCTTCATTCTATCACCTGACGAGTGGTAAGTGTATAGTTCACACGTACACGTTCATAAGCCTCAAACGACTATTGTAGATAATATTTTGGACAATTTATCAGTCAAATTGGTTGTCTTCTGGTTATGAAAAGAGGATTTTTGTTCTTTCTTATAGATTGAGATAATCGGAGGTGGAGACCAATCAGATGTGATTATGTCCAACCCTTGAACTCTAGTTGGTCTTCTCAGTAAATCTAATTATTTAAACTGAATAACCATTCTTAGAGATCATTTAGGTTAATCTATTATAGACTTCTACTTTCCGTCGTTTTGGATTAGCTATAAGTTTTCGAACTTCATTAAAAGTCGAGGGATAGGTTATTTGAATCTTCCACTCTAGTTAAGATGGATAGTGTCTAGCAGTGGAATCCAGGATATGCGTTTCGTCCCATTTGGGACTCATTAGCTGAATGTACCTGCATCTCAGAGTTGATGTTCACTCTAAGACTCTAACCCAGTATCTTTCTCTTTAAACATCATCGCGTTATCGACCCAGAATGAATACCAACTCTGAGATGCAGGTACATCCAGCTAATGAGTCTTAAGTGCGACGAAACGCATGTCCTGGTTTCAACTGCTAGCCACTATCCATTTTTGCATGCATTTATCCATTTTATCTACAATAAAAAATTGTAAAATGTTATCAAAAAATCTTTTACAGTTTACTAAAGTATTTATTTCAGACTAATCATGTGTGCCAACCAGAAATGAACTTGTAATCAATAGTCTACATTTTATAGTATTCTATGATTAACGCTTTTCTTATTAGGTATGTAGAATATATATATATATACGTCTATTGCCTGTTCTATGATAACATTACATGAAGGTGACCTTTTCGTCATCAAGAGAAAATACTAATCATATATATATATATATAATAGATAGATAGATAGATATAATCTTGGTATCATGCATAACTAAGAAACCAAGTGATCGTACGATGTGTAGATATTATGATATTTGTACACTGAAATTAGACCTAGTAATTAGACCCAACAAAAACACACTTTTTCTTTTACCTACCGTGTTAATAAGAGCTTGATAAATGAATTGAATTGTTTTTGATTTCAAGGTGTTTGACTCTAGTTTGTGGTATGTTCTATATAAATAATTAAAACAAAGTTTGTGTCCGGATTTTATAGGATTGTAATGTTATTATGATGTTTTAAGACTTTGCTATGTGATACATGTGCACCGAACAAATCTCATTTGATTTGTGTAATGGCTGTGATACTGCTCACGTGCCCAAACTGAAGCAGGTGGTTTTCTCAGGGGCCACACCCGGAGCCTTTGACCTAAAGATCTGATTCACAAGGCAGTGGATCATCGTAAGGAGATGCAGTGCCATAGTAGCCGGTGACCAACGATTGATTCATACGACGTTTGTTACCTCAAGATCCTGGAGCCCATGTGCACCATCGGTTTAGAATCAGGGTTTTCCAACTCCCCTCGGTGGACTAGCCGTGTCCACCAACCCGGTTAAAGCACCAGACATTCGCTTTTCGTTCTGTCAATTTCGTAAACAATAGTAAAGCCACGATAAGGCAGTTAGTAGGACTTCCCTGACAGAGGCTGTATACGTATGGCCATGTGGGATCATTTGGAGAGAGAGAGTGGACTCTCCCTACTCTCTACCGTACCAGGGCGTTTGGGGGCGTATGCTATGTGAATGTGTGCTAGGGTATCCTTTGGTAATGAACTACATGCGGTGTTCGTACTCTGGGATTCTGGAGGACATGCGTAAATATTGACTTGTTAGATGATATTAGATCCATATGACTTTTATTCTTAAATACGTAGTTAAGAGAATTTGTTTCTCGACGAATAACATAATATGAAAGAAGTGGTATTATAGTGAACGAGAACATAAGTGGAGACAATCCAATGTATTTGAACACAAAATTATAGAATCTCTTAGTAAAATCTGAGAACCATACAGTAGATGTCAATCAATGGTCTCGAAATTGACTGTTCCTTTCGCAAATATCATTCAATCGTCTCAGACTTCATTGTTCTTTCGATTGCACACAAATCATTTTTCGTTCTCATTATTTTTTCGTTGATCTTTTTAACCTTCTGCCGTCAGACATTTCACTTTCTATTGATGGTGATGTTAACTGGATAGAGGCTAGTCAGTCACTCAGCTACAACTTAGGACCAGGCACACATATGCATCGGTCTAAATTGCCATACCTCACTCATTAGCACAACAAGATGAACACTGAGTTCATAGAAGTAGTTATTCTAGTGGCGGTAATATATAAAAGAAAGATTGTATGTAAGGATGTTGTTATATCCCCTGGTGAATTATGAATGGTAACTCCAATGACTATTTATCGACCAATGTATTATGCCTATTTCTTATTGTACAGTTGTTACGTAACTAAATTATTCATATTCGTGTTTCCTCTTATCATTAGCTTTATTTTGATCTTTGATTTATTATCATACGATTCTTGAGTTATAATCAGTTTATTGATTACTTTGGTTTGTATAAAAACTCAGTATGTTTGTAAATAATGATTCATATTGCCGAGGCTGTTATTGGTGTTTTGGGCTTAACTGGCTGGGTTAGGCAGATCGCAGGACCGGTTAGCACTCTAGTCTGCTCGTACGGGTTTCGTGTCACTGTTCCAATCGAGAATTCGCTCTCTCTAATTGGCGGTCTCATCAAGTCACACATCAACTACCCATCCACTCGGCCGCAAGATATAACAGATGTACAGGAAGAAAGACAGATATGAAGCAATTTTAATCTCAAGGTATAAGGGAAGATAAAGAGTGTATACATCTACACCATTGTGATAGATTCTGAGCCATGTCACACAGTCTCCAACCATTGGTTGCGATAGTCATGCGGACCCTAATTAATTAGTCTGTATCTGCCAACATGGATCAAACTAGAAGTTAATGACTTCAATAATTAATGTCATGTTTTGTTTTGACCGCCCCTAACTCTCTTCCAACCATCGCCATTACTAGTCAGCATTGCGCGTCGTGGTAATCGGTGTTCAGGCATACGTAACACGTGTACCAACCATCTCAGTCGATGAAGATTCACAAACTTATCAACTGATTTACTACCATTCTCTAATACTCTGTGTCTAACGTCATTCTAAATGGCGTTAATACTATCAATGATGTTCCTATGTTTTCGTGTAGATTCCTTTTTATTTAATTATGATACATTAAGATCAAAAGAGTTTGGTACTATTCAGTTGAACTGGAAACTAGATCGTACTTTTTAGCCCAGCAACTTAAAGTTTAATCTTTAGTTGGCAACTGGATTTGTTAGTGATTTTAAGAAATTGGATGTTTTTAAAAAAAATCGTAACTCAGTGACGGTTTATTAGTGTTTGTACTGCCGATGCTTGAGTATTCGCATGCAGAAATGACAGTACCAAGTTCAGCATTATTGTTCAGTGTGTCCCAATAAAAAGGTTCAGTTGATAATCTGTTTTGTGAGTTTTGTCACTGTAATAACTACGAACATATCCTGCCTTATTTGATCATAGTTAGTGCTAAGATTCTACATTTGGCTTTCTAAAAAGAACTTAACAAACATTTCACTGGTGATATTTTATTCCGAAACAAGAAGTCAATAAATTTCGGTTGACCACAATTTAATATTTACATAGTTTAAATAATGAATCAATTGAAGCTAAATCACCATGGAAAACCTGGAAGCACATGGATGGCCGTTTCATCCTATTATGGGACTCCTCAGCAGTGCGCATCGAAATTTAATATTTCTTTAGTTAATAATGCTTTGATTAAACTGTTTAACTTATTTCCTTTTAATGATAATCATTAACAACATCTTTAAATGGATAACTTTAAGAATAGACATTTTTATCGTTTGAAAATAAATACTTTAACTCAATTATGTTAATGGTAAGATATTGGAACACGAAAAAAACAATAACAACAACAACAACATCGTTAGAATGAAATACACACTTAAAGTTAACTTGATAATTTCATTACCGATAGTGATATCAATTGAACAACATATGCAACTCAAAACATTTGTCAGTCAACCAATATCAAAGTGAAAATCTTCAATATGAACGTCAAGACAATCCTACTGTATGGACCTGAAACGTGAAGAACTACTACATCCATCATCAAGAAGTTACAAGTATTTATAAACAGTTGTCTACGCAAAATACTCAACATTCACAGACCGGATACAATCAGCAACAGCGTTTTATGGGAGAGGACAAGCTAGCTTCCAGCTTAAGAGGAAATTAGGAAAAGACATTGGACATGCATTGAGCAAACCACCGAACTTTTTCACGAGTCAATCCCTAACTTGGAATCCGGAAGGGAAGCAGAGAAGAGGAAGGCCAAACAACACATTACGTCGGGGATTGTAAGCAGACATGCCAAGAATGAATAACAACTTGTAAGAATTGCCCATGGCATGATTGAATGGAGAATACTGATGAGCGGCCTATACTCCTCCACGAGGAATAACAGGCATAAGTAAGTAAGAAAGTATATTCCGGTCATACATGATATTTCCTTCATACATAATCATACAATTTACTATTTCTATTTCTAGACATCAATATCAATAAACCGAAATCAATTCATCTATTCAAATCTATTTGTTTATGGTTATGTGGTCTAGGTAATTCACCTTGTACAAAATGTTCCAAAATATTTAATAAACAACAACAACAAGAAGATACTACTCAAATGAGATTGAATAAAATTACTAATCTTAATCAAAATTCTTTAGCTAAATTTTGTTTAAAAATTGGTTTAATTATAATTATCTGTTTAACTATATTTGCTTATTTATTTTATTCATTATATTTTAATGATATCATAATAGGTCCATTACCATTGATAGGTAATAAAACTTTAATTAATCAACATTATTTAAAACATATTACTTATTTACAAAATAATAATATGATAACATTTCGAAAAAAATAATCATCACATCATTTCTTAATCCCTTTATTTCGTATATTTAATTATACTACTTAATTGAATTAAGTAGTTTTTAATATTTGTAATAAATTGAATTTTTATCTAATTTCTTAGTTTAGTTCATTGATTATTTATTTTATTTATGTACGTAAACAAAATGTTTGTCTATTAACTTAAGAAATCTTTACTAACAACCAAAATAAACACTTTGAAGAGTGATTTCTTTATTTTATTTTATTTATTATGGATAGTGGCTAGCAGTGGAATCCAGTTGGAAGCGCGTTTCGTCCTATTTAGGACTCGTTAACTGGATGTACACCTGCATCTCAGAATTGTTGATGTTCACTCTTGGACTCGAACACTGTACCGTTGGCTTCAAACGCCATCGCGTTATCCACTTAGTTACTGAGTCCTGATAGCCACCTGCTTATGGAATGGGATAAAATTTAAATTCACGTACATGATCATATATAAGTTGATGTCTATCGATAATGAATTTTACCCAGATAAATTCCAATAATTTCACCATTATGTATCTGGAGTAAGTGGTGTTGTTGCTATCTCCATTCCACAAGGCTGATGAAATAACCATTCGCACAATAAGTGCAAACAATATTTATGATACAACATAATATGTTCTCATTATTCCATTTGATTACCTTCTATGTAAATTTAATATAAACCATAATGAAAGCAGTATGGAATTACTGCCTACTTAAAGATTTAGGAAGATACCAAATGCCAATCACGTAGTTTAATCAAAATTCCTAATTACAAATTGCGATAGTCATAAACTTAATAAAACCATCACACTCAATTAGTTCTTATTATTTTTTCTAGCAAACTATTGTCAATACATGGAAATGCTTTATTCGTTCACTGAAAGTTGCAGATAATCATTCACATATTATCTTACTAAAATCTGACAACCATATAGTAAACAGCTAATTTGTAAACTATTAATCAATTATTTCAACATTGACCATTCCGTCTGTAAATATCAGTTCCTTATCTTCCTCATCGATCTTCTGCCGAAATACATTCTATGCCTGACCATCGTTATATACTACTTGTGTGGATATAAGTAATCCACATCGCACATTCACAAACTTAAACAAAGTAAGAACGACAGCATTCACTAACTGAATATTGTTAACTATCATAAGGTTATACACAGTGTATTAAGGTATCATATTCTTTTCGCATCGTGCAGACGTGCTACAGTGATTGTTAATCAACAAATATTGATTTTACTATACATGAAATATTTATGTTTGAAATTTGTTTAAGATATCACTGTTGGTGATTTTAAATCATTGTCCTCCTCTCTTGAACGATTGAATCTGATCTCAAATTTCCAACTATGTTATTATCATGTGGTGCTTACGGCCCTAGATTCGACACTGACTACAGTGGTGAAGTCAAAGATGAATAGATTAAAATGATTTGACACCCATTACTATGTAGTAATGATCATCTTTTTGGTAGTATTCAACATCTTCATAGTTTATAGTTCTGTTGATTAACATTTATTGGAAATGAGTGACTGTGATGAGATCAAATGCACAGTAGAAATGAGTGTTATGGTTGAGCACCAGTGATTTATGTCACTTCGACTCTGCGACGTTGGTCAGATGCAAGAAAGAGAAAGAATTCGACAGTTCTGATTCTACAACATCTGTCTCCTTTTTCTAGTTTCATTTGTCACTGAAATCTACGCTTGATGATGATTCTTTCAAAATTTACCGAAATCTACCAGTTTATGAACTCTGGAATGTTCAAATTGTTTATCAGTTTAATCATCAAAACTAGTTAAACTTTATTCAATATTAACACGTGATTTATGGAACACTAAGGTCATGCATGACATGAGTTACAATTTTCATTTAGTAATGCGAACTGAATAGTTTACTGTGCTCATCTCTGCTTTTTGCTCTGAATAGAAAACTAAAACAACAGTCTGAAGACCTATACTATTCATGTTGAAATGGTTCGATTGATTACAATCAAGGTATTACGAATATTTATTTCTATTTACTGTGAATTGTTACCAATAATCTCAATACGTTAAAGTACTACATATAAAATCCGACTGATTTCTTCTGAAGATTAGTCCAACATCATCTGACTAGCACAACTAATAAAAAAGAGTAGTAGCTTAGTGATTAATGTGGTCAACTTCTATTCAGTAAGTTTCCGATTTCAACTCTGCTACACGTATCTTGGTTCGGCCAACAACATAGTATCTTGGAAGTCTGATTAGCCCTATTGGTTTGGTGTGTGACAAAATCTCTGCACGGATTCAGAAAGCTCGTTTGGCCTTTTCCAACTTACGTCACCTATTGAGAAGGCGAGATATTCGTCTATCAATCAAAATACGAGTATGTTGCACAGCAGTTCTCCCTGTTTTACATTGCGTCTGCAAAACGTAGCCATTAAGATTAGAAGATATTCATGAGGTACTTGTATTTGACCACAGATGCCTTAGAAATATTGCTCGAATCTGCTGGGATGCCCGGGTAACTATTAATGAGGTTAGACGCAGGGTATTAGGGAATGATGCTAAATCAGTTGATGAGGTCATGAATCTTCATCGATTGAGATGGTTAGGGCACGTGTTACGTATGCCTGAAACACCGATTTCCACGACTCGCAATGTTGACTAGTGTAGGGGATGGTTGGAAGAAAGTTAGGGGCAGACAAACCAAAACATGTCATCAGGTCTTGAAGTCACTAACTTCTGGTCTTAGTCATGTTTGTAGATGCAGACTACTTGGTCGGGGTCCGTGCGACTATCGTAGTCAGTGGTTGGAGACTGTGTGTGTCCGTGACATGTCTCAGAATCGATCACAATGGTTTAGGTGAATACACTCATTGTCTTCCCTTAAACTATGGGATTAAAATTGCTTCATACCTTTCTTCCTCTACTATATCCTGATATACAACCTTTCCTTTATACATTACTACCATTGAAGGAACTACTTCTATGAATTCGGTGTTCATCTTGTTGTGCTAACGAATGAGGTATGGCAACTTTGACCGATGCATATATGTGCATGGTCCTACGTTGTATTTGACTGACTTAATAATGCCAAGTATGATAATCGTTTACAATAATCAAAAACAGCACATAGCAAAAATACAAAGTAGATGTTGTATGACCAATATTTCTTGTTCATTAGATGTTTACAAAGTTATTATCTAGAAAGATAGTGATAATTTCACAATTATGATTAAACCATCTAGTTCAGGGAACTTAACAATATCAAAAATAAAAGTATATCTTAATTAAAAATCTCTTAATAATGAGGTGTTTTTGTGGAGGTTTAGTATTTTCATAGTTGAAAGCGAGACTACTAGGTCCTGGGTTCGAATCTCGCGAGGCATGGTCTTCATAATGAAGTTATAGTAACTATCCTACAACCAATTTCGATTATAGTTAAGCCCTTTTATTAACTTACTTAACAGACAATGTTATTTGATAGCATAGTAACAATTCGTTTATATCTTTGCACTGTTATGGTCAACAGATCTCAAATCACAGATCCGAACTAAAATATTTATTGCTTAAATGTCACTCGATCAATCAATCCATCCTCCTCCTCCCTATGTGTGTATATGTACGGAAATCTTATTATTAACCCTTGCTTTGCTTTGCAGTGCACTTATTCGATTTCACTATAAATTTGCGTCTGTATTTAATCACATACGCGTATTTGCCTCTGTGCTTCAAATTCGCTTAATATGCGCTCATACCATTGTGAACTGCGTTATTTGCTAATAAACTGTAGTTGCCACATCTCATTGCCGTCTAGTGCTTCCAAAATTTCCATGGTGGTCTAATTTCAATTGGCTTGCGAACTCAACTAAGAAATTACTCTAGTATCCACAAAAATCTCTTTCTGATAACAAATATATTTCATTGGATAGTAGAAAGTGAAACAATAGAGAAAGAATATAACAGTTCTGATTCTAGATCAGAAGGGGTTTTTGTAGAGATTTCAGTATTTTCATAGTTGAAATCATGAGTCAATTGAAGTTAGACCACCATGGAAAACCTGAAAGCACTGGACAGCCGTTTCGTCCTATTATGGGACTCCTCAACAGTGCGCATTCAGTTCTGATTTTGCAACATTGACTAAATCATACTCTATGATATAAAGATTTCAGTGAATTATTTCAACAAATCAATATTATTAAGCTTCTGTAAATTATTTAACTATACTACTTCTATGTAGTGATGCCAAATTCACCAGTCATAAAACATGACAAGAATCACGTGTAAGAAAACTTTCACACCTAAAAAATAAAACACTTTTGTAAATCTTATATAGACAATTTCATTTTTGTACGTGTGTAATGATTTAGTTGATTTGTATTAATAATAATCTATGTGAAATATATGAATGATCGGTCAGAAAAACAATAATGATGTAGAAAGATTGATATGTTAGTGAGTCAGTAACATCGTAGAACTACGTACGTACGTATGTACTTAGGTAAGTACGTATATCAATTGAAGTTAACACAAAGATACAATTGTCGATTGTACTCTCATAATGATAGAAGTAGTGCGTGTATAAGCAGTAATGTGAAAGATTATGGTTTGAAGATGTTATTCAAGGAGTATAATACAGTGAAATAAATTTGCAAAGAGAAAAGAACGGACATGAGGGATTCAGAAGATTAAGATTTGGCAGAACACAAAAAGTAGATGCAGCTTCGCCGTTGTAAACGATTTTGAGCTATGTCACTCTAGGTCTGTAACCATCGGTTGCTATCGTCTCGCGGATCCCAATCAGGTAGTTTACACTCACCTACCAACATGGCTCAGTCCACTTGTCAATGATTTCATGATTTTGTGCCTTGTTTAGTTCTGGCCAACCCTAGCTTTTATCTAACCTACACCATAAAACATTGTTTGTCGTCCCAGTCACCTCAACTGATGAAGTTTCCCTACTTCATCAATCGATTTGCCATCTATACCTGGTACCCATTTCCTAATAACTGTATTACTTATTCGGTGGTTCCAGGATATACGAGAACAAAATAATATTGTGAATCGTTGAATAATTCATAGCACTAATTCTCTAATTATTATTAATACAGGAATTGAAGTTTTTGTTAAAATATGAAGAGGGATCATCATCATCAATAAGAGCGATGGTCAAAACTGTCAACAGAATAAACAGAAAACAAAACCCACCTTAGTATGATGATAAATAGACATTTTTATACAGAATTCAATACTTATTTATATCATATCATATAATGTATCATACTCTTACACGATATGACATCGCTCGACGAGGCAGTTGGTGGTTGAACATACGTAACAAATGTCCTAGCCATCTCAACTGATGAAGTTTCACTAATTCATCAATTGATATATCATCCTTACTTAGTACCGTTTTCTTAGCAACTGCATTACTTACTCAGCGGTTCCAAACATTTATATATACTTTGAAAAGGATGAATAACAACTTGAAAGAACTAGAAAGGATTGACCAGGACAAGGTTACTTACGTACTTACTCACGCCTGTTACTCCCAATAGAGCATAGGCCGCCGACCAGCATTCTCCAACCCATTCTGTCCCGGGCCTTCCTTTCTAGTTCTATCCATTTTTTGTTCATTCTCCCCGTGTCTGTCTCTATTTCTCGGCGCAATGTGTTCTTTGGTCGTCCTCTTCTCCTTTGAGCTTCAGGATTCCATGTGAGGGCTTGTCTTGTGACGCAATTGGGTGATTTCCTCAAAGTCTGCCCAATCCACTTCCAGTGCTTCTTCCTCATTTCTTCCTCCACCGGATGGAATATGGTTTGTTATCTCGCACATTAACTTGTTGCTGATAATGTCTGGTCAACAGATCCGAAGTATCTTGCATAGACAACTGTTAATAAACACTTGTATCTTCTGGATAATGGCTTTCGTAGTTCTCAACGTCTCCGCCCCATACATTAGAATTGTCTTGACATTTGTATTGAGTTCCAGATGATCTTCAGTTGTAAATATGTTGCTCTTGCTTTGCTGATCCTCACCCTCACATCTGCATCAGATCCACCGTGTTCATCTATGATGCTGCCCAGATATGTAAAGGTTTCCACATTCTCCAAAGCTTCTCCGTCAAGTGTAATTTGATTGGTGCATATTGTGTTGTATTGTATTGTATTGTATCGAAGAGTCTTGCTTTTCCCTTTGTTTATATTGAGACCTACCGCTTCTGAGGCTGCTGCTACACTGGTCGTTTTCTCCTGCATTTGTTGTTGTGTTTTTGATAGAAGAGCCAGATCATCCGCGAAGTCTAAATCGTCAAGCTGCATCCTGCCTGTCCACTATATTCCGTGCATTCCTCCAAATGTTGACGTCTTCATAATCCAGTCGATCACTAGGAGAAAGAGAAACGGTGAGAGTAGGCAACCTTGCCTAACACCGGTCTTTACCTCGAATGAGTCGGTGAGCTGTTCTTCATGCACGATTTTGCAATTTAATCCATCAAAGGAATTCCTTATGATATTGACTATCTTCTCGGGCACGCCGTAGTGTCGAAGAAGCCTCAATAGTGTTGTCTTGTCCATGTGCTTAGGACAAGGTTGGATGGAGAATACTAGTATGCGGCCAATGCTCTTCCACGAAAGGGTCACAGGCTTAAGTAAGTAAGTAATAAGTGTAATTAAGATGTTCATGAATTTAATAAAGTCAGATACAATCTCGATATCCAATACATCTGGTAGATGAAATCTAGTGTTTGGTCAGAAACAAAAACGAATGTATCTATGTATAGATATATATATATATATATATATAACATCTTCGTAATCCAATAAGATTTGCTGTAAACATATTGTTGACATAATCATATCTAAACAAACTATTACTTTTAATTATTATCATAATAAAATTTATATAAAAGAACAAATATATTAACCAACTAAACAACGGGGTGGTGGGGTGGGGGATATTCTTACTTTATTTTAATGAATCCATGATGATTTAATAAATTTAATGCATTTTTTAATGTTTCATTATTAATTATTATCCAATTATTAATATGAATTGTTAATGGACCAATTTGAATAGAATTAAAATAAATTGAAAAAAATATAAAACCAAATATAGATAATAATATAGTTAATATTAAACCAATATATAAAATTAATTTAATATATGAATTTTGTTTTAATGATATAATTGATTGTTTATAATAATTATCTATTGTATTTAATTGATATTGTTCATTATTGTATATAAATTTATCTTCAATAAAATGATTATCATTCGATGTAATAATATAAATTTTTTCATCAGGATGATGATGATGATGATGATGAGAAGGATGAGAATGTGTTATAAATTGATTACATAATTTTTGTAAACAATTACATTGATAATAATTTTTTATATCTAGATTAGAACATGGATAATCAGCACAACCGCAGAACCAAAGACATATATTTTTAAGAATTTTATACCATGATGAAGATTGAGATTTATGTTTTTGATCTGTTGAAGATTGATGATCTAAAATGAATAGAAAAAAAAAAGCTGTCACAATAGATTGTAGTTATAATATTCAATCAATAAATCTGATGTATATTGAAAAAAAAAAACGCCTGTAGCGCCTCCGGGGGCTACTGCCGGTCCCAAGCCCAGAAAAGAGGGGAGGATTGGGTATGAGGTTAGCGACCTCATCTCGTAGAAAACCAACTCCCTAAAAGAACGCTAATCAGAAAAAAATTATTCAAACCATTTAAACTCTACCCTGAGAGTAGAAGGAATAATTATGACGTCTCATGATGAAAGCCAAGTTCCTTTGGAAATCATGAAGTCGATGCCTTTTCTAACAACCACAGCAACAATTCTTATAGGTACATTGAACGTCCGGACAATGTGGAAGACCAGCAGAGCCTTACAAATTGCTGCAGAAATGAGGACATACAACCTGGAGGTGCTTGGGATCAGTGAAATACATTGAACGCTGGTTGGACAACAAAGACTATCTTCAGGAGACCTTTTGTTATACTCCGGTCATGAAGAAGAAAATGCCCCACATACTCAAGCAGCTGCATTGATGCTGTTCAAACAAGCACAAAATGCACTTATAGGATGGGAATCTCATTGACCAAGGATTATTAAAGCTTCCTTTAAAACAAAGAAAGAGGGCAATACAATGAACGTCATTCAATGCTATGAGCCTACCAACGACTACGATGAAGACGTTACAGACCAATTCTACGATAGTCTGCAGTCAATCGTTGAAAAGTGCCCAACAAAGGACCTGACCATTCTGATGGGAGATTTAAATGTTAAGGTTGGAATGAACAACGCCCGATATGAATAAATCATCGGACGACATGGACTGGGAGAAAGGAACAAAAATAGTGAGAAACTTGCAGCCCTATGTGGGTTACTTATATCCACATAAGTAGTATATTACGATAGTCGGACATTGAAAGTATTTCAAGTAGAAGATTGATAAGGAAAGAATGGAAGCGAAACGCAATTCATATGAAAGTGCATAAACAATAATAATCGGAAACGATGAACTGATATTTACAGAAGAAACGGTCAAAATTGAGACAATGGATTGATAATTTGTAAATTAACTGTTTACAATATTGTTGTCAAATTTTAGTAGAATAGTCTGTACTTTTGTGCTAAAAGATAATCAGTTGTTCTCACCTATGTTCTCATTCACTATGATTGTAGTTATAATATTCAATTATTAAATATGAAATGAGTATGTCATTTTGTCAAAAAAATATCACAAATTAAATTGAGGGGACTCAGTGTCCGAGTGGATAACGCGATGGCGTTTGAAGTGAGGGTACTGGGTTCGAGTCTCAGAGTGAACATCAACTCTGAGATGCAGATACATCCAGCTGACGAGTCACAAATAGGACGAAACGCGCGTCCTGGATTCCACTGCTAGCCTCTATCCATCTCTGCTAACCATGAGGGGACTATAGTTTGTGGACGAACCAACCAGATACGAGATAACAAGTTATGCGGTCAGTTTAGCGTCGCTCAATGCTCATCCATAATCTAGTCTCAGAAGTTATCGTTCAGCTACTAGTTCCATATTACCTGTTGAACAGATTAGCATTAAATTCATCCACAAAATATCTGATTCATACTTAAATACATTAGATTGATATACTGGTGTATATAGTTGATGACATAATATAACTGCTCTTTATTCTTTTTATATTATGAAAATAATAAAGTTTAACTAACTATCATGATTCTTAAGTAATGAGATGAATACTCGATAAATTTAAGATTGTTTTCATTTTTCAACTACCATCATCCTTATCAACTGAAGAACCACCTTAAAACCGGGAAATATTGTATAATTATTTAATTGTTCTTTGAAGCTGTCAGCAACAAATACTGGTTATGATTATAGAGTGAATCTAGTAAGTATGTTATAGATCACTGTTAATGTGAATCAAATCCCATTGACTATAATAATAAGGAAACACATGTGAAAATATGGAACGAATACAATTGGCCATGTATCTATCTAGTTTATATGTCAAATAAGAAAGACCCATAAATAAAGTAAGAAGATGGAGTGAAGAACTAATCTACCATGGAATATCCCCACAAGTGCTGATAGATTGTAGTCTAGATGCAACAAAAGAAGGATTCTACTACAAATTGATTCATCATCTCAACAAAGTGCGTTTCACATATACTATGGTTTAGGGAATAGCTTGAATAAATAGTGCGCACTACATGGTTCCAGAAATAATAACGAAGACCCATTTCTATGGCTCTGTTCACATCTCAGTCTGTTTCCAGTAAGTATCAACCTCCGGTATACTCATTATTGATATCCTATTTGGAAACTTCCGTCTGGAACTCTAACACGGACTAAAATCGATCGAACTTGGATTACGTGAGTGTGTGCAAAATTGACACTTCTTCTGAAACACCTACATGCATTTTCATCATGTCCTAGTATGCAACACTTATCGAGAACATTAGTGGTTACAGTATGCTAACGACTTGAAGATAAAAATTACATCTGGTTACTACCAAAGATTGAATTATTATATCCAACCTAATGACGGTAAGATATTTAATATCAACCACACAATCAATCAGATTATTGATACATCAAATAGTGGTTTCCACGGGTGTCTCGAATATTGAACAGACCACTTCAAAATACAATTTAAATGGTCAGTCTATTAGTAAAGTATTATTACAATGGGATTTTTCCTACACTGCTGAACAATGAACATTTAAGTAGTCAATAAATATAAACAAATTAGAATAGACTTGGAGTATTCAATAAATCTAAACATTCAATGCATACTTTTATATAGTTGAGATCATGAGTCAATTGAAGCTAGACCATTATGGAAAACCTGAAAGCACTGGACAGCAGTTTCGTCCTATTGTGGGACTCCTCAGCAGGTCCTGGGTTCGAATCTTGCGAGGTGGGATCGTCGATGCACACTTCTGAAGAATCACATAATAAGACGAAACGGTTACCCGGTGCTTCCAGGTTTTCCATGGTGGTCTAGCTTCAATTGACTCATGATTTCAACTATATAAAATTACTGAAATCTCCACAAAATCCCCTTCTGACAATGATCATATGCTCACTAGTGATTTGCTCCATGAGCTATTTCCTAGACTTCTAGTGAGAAGCAGTAACCCATGGAGTTCAACCAGGTTTGCTGTGAGATATTAACTCACTGAAGAAATTGGTAAATGGTTGCTCAATTTCATGGATTGGTTAAGCGCTCGCTCACGAAACTGATAGGTCTTGAGTTCGAATCTCATGAGGCGGTATCGTGGATGCGCACTACCGAAGAGTCCCGCAATAGGGCGAAACGGCCGTCCAATACTTTCAGGTTTTCCATGGTTGTTTAGCTTCAATTGACTCATGATTTCATCTATATAAAATTACAAAACCCCCCCTTCTGATTTAATACATACCTTCACTATTCTTCTTATCATTAAAATTTTCAACTTCTTTTAATTGTTGACATTTCATATTATTATTTTCATCAAAAATTTGTAATGAATTAACATTATTATTCATATTCATTTGATTTAAATTATTAGTAGAGATATCTCTTTTATGAATCATTTCATGATTATCATATTGATGATAGATAGAATGATTAGTTTTGTTAACATCTTTATCATCATCATCATCATCATCAGCATCATCAGCAGCAGCAGCATCAGTATGATTACCATCAAGATGATCATCACCATCGACATGATCATCACTATGATGACCAACGACATAATCATCACCATCAACATTATGATAATTATTATCCACATTCTTTATAATCATTTCAGTAGAGTGTATATCATTTTTTGAATTAATTTGATATAATGAATTATTATTATCATTAGCTGGTTGATCCCATGCTGTCCAATAAGTTAAACGACATAATTGTTCATTGGTTAAACGTTTTTCAGTTAATGATAATAAACATACAATAAGACCACATGTTATAAATGAGAATAATGCAAAATACATATAATGAATATCTTTAATAATCCATGGTCTATTATCTTCTTCACCACATACTGGTTCATGATAGATAATTGTTAGAATTAATCGAATTAAACCAGTTATTAATCCATACATTAATCCATAGAATGCACCCTTTAAAATTCAGAAAAAAAGAGAGGTAACGTCACCTAGTAAATCTAAATATTAGTAGTAACTTGTAAGCAAAGATGGATAGTGGCTAGTGGCAGTGTAATCAAGTTGGACGAGCGTTTCGTCCTATTTGAGACTCGTCAGCTGGATGTACTTGCATCTCTTGGACTCGAACCCAGTAACTAACTGACCAGTTGCAGTCCTAAATATCAATGGGAAGATTTAAACAAACAATGCTAAGTGAATTTAGTAATAACTTATTGCCAAGTGACATTTTACATGTCCTAGCTTTTCATCCTTTCAACTTCGTAGACAACATCTCTACCGTGAAAAGACAGTGACTAGAACTTCTGTGTCAGTGACTGTATACGCGTGAAGAATGTGAGAGCATCTAGATAGAGAAAGAGATCTATGACAGACACGATATTGATTAAATATGTGACATCTGTAACAATGTCAACAGGATTTCCACTCCAACCGATAAACAAGAACTGATATGTTGAGGATTCGTCATATATATATATATATATATATATATATATATATATATATATTCACCGCACAAGTCTCATTTGATTTGTGTGAGGGCTGTGATACTGCCCAAGTGCCCAAAAAGAAGCACGTGGTTTTCTTAGGGGACCACACCCAGAGCCTTTGACCTAAAGGTATGATACACAAGGCAGTGCAGCATCGTAAGGAGATACAGCTCCATGGTAGCCTGTCACCAACGATTGAATCATACGCTATTTGTTCCCTCAGGATACTGGAGACCATGTGCACCATTGGTTTGTGGTCGAGGTTTTCCAACTCCCCTAGGTGGACTCGCCGTGACCATTAACCCGATTAAAGCACCGGATATTCTCTTTTTGTCCTCTCAATTTCGTAAACAACAGTAATGCAACGAGAATGGAGTGAGTAGGACTTGTGTGGCAGAGGCTATATACACGTGGCCATTTGAGAGCAATTGGAGAGGGAGAGCGGACTCTCCTCACTCTCGGCCGTACCAGGGCATTTGGGAGATTTGTCACATGATGCAAGTTATAATAGGAAGTGGAAAGCGATTTTATGACATTATGGGTTGATAACTTTGTCGTAAATACTGGTTCACGGTATTGTAGACAGTTTTTATTTTTCATTTGTGTCATACTTACAAATTCATAACCTTGATTTCATATAAACATTCAGGCAAGTAACCATTAATTTAGAAATTGATAGTCCGAATTTTCTAATGAATCAGCACACGATGAAGCTGGACTATGAGTAAATATTATTGATCAGAATTCTATCTCAATCCATAATAAGTTAACAACACAAACCTCAAATCGAAATGTCTCATATGTTGAGTCTCAAATTTGTAGTATAAAAAGTGGCTTTTGGACTTTTCATTTTTACCCATGTTTAGTTCTTCACATAATAATTAGTCCGATGATATGTAGTGGACATGAATGAAAAGTAAACATATCAAAACTATTGTGAGTGTTCTAAACCAATGCTTTGTAAGATTTCCAACCATTAACTTTTGATAGCTTTTGACCCGATTCTGACATCATAAAAATTGCGACATCACTTAGATCTATAGTTAATAATAGCCTCAATAATTAGTGACATGGCCATCTTCAACCAACTATTATTTCGGTAACCATCGTGTGTCGAAACATGATGTGGTTTAGTAAACATAAGAAATGACAGCTGGTTTACATTCGCATTTTAAATAACTGAGACTTTTTGCCAGCCTGTAACTCTGTACCAAATCTGAACAGTGTTCAGTCTGTAGCTCCTCGACATATATGTAATATTATGATGCTACTGTTCATCGACTGAAGAACATCTGGAACTCAAAACAATTGTCAATCAACACCATGATCAGAATTTTCAATACAAATTTCAAGACAGTTCTAATGTATGGGGCGGAGACGTGGAGAACAACGAAAGCCATTATCCAGAAGATACAAGTGTTTATTAACAGCTGTCTACGCAAGATACTTCGGATCCGATGACCAGACACTATCAGCAACAATCTATTGTGGAAGAGACCAAACAAGATTTCAACGGAGGAAGAGATGAGGAAGAAGCGCTGGAAGTGGATTGAGCAGACTTTGAGGAAATCATCCAATTGCGTCGCAAGACAAGCACTCACATGGAGTCTTGAAGGTTTACAACTATCATTAGACAAAAAATTTTGATATTTAATCAGCATCTCAGTAACAGACTAAACAAAAATGTAAAAGTATACTGAATTAATAATAATTAATTACCCTTTCTGTAGTTCGTTTGTTTAAAATAGCGCATAAATAAACTGAAGCCACAGGTGGAGCAAGATAAGCTGAAACACCTTGAATATATATATATAATTGACTGCCTTGAAATTCTTGAATTACAGGAATCCAAGCAATACTCAATAATATTAATACAATTACAAATATTCTAGAAAAACAACAACAGCAACAACACTGAATGTAGGACAAAATTTGAATAGAATACATGAAAAATCTGGTATACAGGTTTTAATGTATTCAGAAACAAGTCTGATCAGATATATAAATCAATAAAATATCTTAATGTATTTGTTATATCCTAGTGAAGATTAAGAACAGCCAACCTTTGCAGCTTTCTATCATACCACAACACCATGTCATACACTGATCACCTCTCCGCTTTTTTCAACCAGTCCCAACGTGGGTAAATAATGCACGACGACATTCGTAGAACATGTCCAAGCCACCGAAATCAGTGTTTCAAGATGGTGAAACCAAGTGGATTGTTGTCTCTGTTCCCGAACACACGATGCCGAACCTCTGCATCACTAATTACGGGTAACTTCTGGGATCTAATAATGGATTAATATTCTATAAATATACTTATTGTACAGCTATTCAGTAATTATGTTATGTGTATCTATGTCCATCTTATTATAAGCTTCATTTTGACCTATGAATTATTATTATACGATTTACTGTTCCTAAATTATACTCAGTTTATTGATTACTATCTCACACGTCCACAGCCATAGTTTACTTTGATCTCGTACAAATGTTATTTCCTATTTTATGGTGTGAATATGGTCTGTTTGGCTGGTATATAAACCAAGTATATTTGAAACAAATAATTCGTATGGTCGGAGCTGTTACTGGTGTTGTGGACTCATCTGGAAGAGCTAGGAGGACAAAGAATCAATAAGGATGCTAGACTTCTCATACCGGTCGAACTTCATCGGTTTAACACAGTGCAAAGATTGCATAAGTCGCATATCGATTGGTAATTAAATCACGTGATAAAAAGCCGGGCTTAAATCACAACACTATTGTAAGTTGTTAGGACTTACATTTTTATTTTTATTTAAACACATTAATATTAGTACAAAGGGATACCAGATACATATGCGCCACACAAATCAAATAAGATTTGTGTGAGGGCTGTGATACTGCCCAAGTGCCCAAAAAGAAGCACGTGGTTTTCTTAGGGGACCACACCCAGAGCCTTTGACCTAAAGGTATGACACACAAGGCAGTGCAGCATCGTAAGGAGATACAGCTCCATGGTAGCCTGTCACCAACGATTGAATCATACGCTATTTGTTCCCTCAGGATACTGGAGACCATGTGCACCATTGGTTTGTGGTCGAGGTTTTCCAACTCCCCTAGGTGGACTCGCCGTGACCACTAACCCGATTAAAGCACCGGATATTCTCTTTTTGTCCTCTCAATTTCGTAAACAACAGTAATGCAACGAGAATGGAGTGAGTAGGACTTGTGTGGCAGAGGCTATATACACGTGGCCATTTGAGAGCAATTGGAGAGGGAGAGCGGACTCTCCTCACTCTCGGCCGTACCAGGGCATTTGTGGGCTTACAATGTTTGTATCACTCAACAACATTCTTAAAACAAATGAAATATGAATGATCTGTGTTGATTATGGCATGTCATTATTAAACTAATGATAGAAAGTTTAACAGAATACTTTGTGAAATATTTATAATGCCTTCAAAATTGAAACACAGAAACCATCTTTCACATACTTGTGGGTCATCTATTGAAAAAACTATTTATTCAAAATATAACGACAGTTCTTAGAAGTTATGTTTCCTCACTTTAACACTTTTGATCTACTTCAGTTGTATCAATTATGCATTATTCACAGCACTACTATAAGCAATTCTTTTAAATTTACTAGATGAATTCCAAAATGGTTAGAATGAAATATTATAAGTAATAGGTATTTTCAACGACGTATAACATAGATTAGAAAAATATAAAAATTAGACTTACCGACTAACAACCATTATCTCCATATTCTTTGCTTTCTTTCTAATTTTCATATAAACATCAACTGTAAACAATGTACTAGCTGAATTGAAAATTGAAGTTAAATCAGAAATTAATGCAGCTAACATCACAGCCAACATAAGACCTCTAAGACCTAGAATTGAAAGAAGTGTTGGGATAATTAATTGAAAAGTAAATAAACAAACGGAGGATTATTCTTGTCAATGAAATTGAATGTACAATGATACTCGATGGTTGTAGCGCATGCATAAATTGACAAATGTTTTGTAAAATATTCTCCACTTCTTCGATATTTGGTAAACTTCACAAACGTGATTACAGTTTTTCAATGTCTTTGAGTGTTCAGTCACTCGTGACGACCAGTGAACATTCTCGATAGAACTAGGATTTCTATTTCAATAATTGGGTATATCAATGGAGATTGGATTATGAATTGTGATACCAACACAGTGATTCATTTTTTCATAGCAAATTCAAATATGACATTTCATAAACAGAAGCGATTGTAGACATCAATAACCCCTTTGTATGAACTCATAGTTGATTACTTCAGCTCATAACTTCAGAATATTCGATCTTGAAGTCGTCATAAAGTGGCTGAATTGTGAACAACTTTCATGTCCAACGATCAATCGGAGATGGTTGTCAATGATGGTAAAAATATGTTGTTGAGTAATCATGACGTGGATGTATAACAAACAGAAATTTGTTTCAACAGTACACAAGTGGTGCTGAGAATCCTTTACCATAACAAAAACTATAGTCATAAATAAACCTAATACTTATGTTCATAGGGAACCAACAAACATTGAATGATATGCATGATAAATAAATAATTAAATCAGTTCAGTCTTCTGTTTTGGGTATTTATTTTGTTATGTCATTGAAATCTGGTGGTCAAACCAATCGAATTGTTGATTAAAGTTTTATATTGAATTTACATCTTGTGGAATAAACAAAACATAGCAATGAAGCTGAAGATAATCCTAATTACTTTATAGTTGGAAAGTGTTTTATAAAAGAAACAAATCGTTTATTGTGTCACAAGTCGATATAGTCGAGGAACAGTTTTTTTTTAAGCCTTACCAATTTCACTTGATGAGCTTTAAGAATTAGACAACAGCAGATAGATATCATTGATGAACAGTGAGGATCTGATACAGATGTAAAGGCGAGGATTGGCAAAGCAAGGACAGCATTTCTACAAGTGAAGAACATATGGAACTCAAAACAACTCTCAACTAATTCCAAAGCAAGAATCTTCAATACGAACATCAAGACAGTCCTACTGTATGGAGCTGAAACGTGGAGAACTACCACAACCGTCATCAAAATAGTACGATTATTTATAAACAGTTGTCTACGCAAAATACTCAACATCCACTGGCCGGATACTATCAGCAACAGCGTTTTATGGGAGAGGACAAACCAGCTTCCAGCTGAAGAGGAAGTGGATTGGACATACATTGAGCACATCACCAAACTGCATCACGAGGCAATCCTTAACTTGGAATGGTGGAGGGAAGCGGAAAAGAGGAAGGCCAAAGAACACACTGCGTTGGGAATGGAAAGCAGACATGAAGAGAATGAATAACAAGTGTAAAGGATTGCCCATGATGAAGTTGGATGGAGAGTGCTGGTGTGCGTCCTATGCTCCTCCAAGAGGAGTAACAGGCGTTAGTAAGTATAGTAGACATTGATTACTCTCTAGTGATTGATAGGCGTTACATACAGTTACATAATTTGCTCGCACTTCATAGGAATATAAAATCACTATTTCTAATATGAATAAGAAATTCAATGAATTCCAAGAAAAAACGTTAATAATCTGCATAATATGACAATGGAATAAAAATAACGTAAGGATATTTCATCAAACCTGATGGCATAATATTAATTACAAGTTTTGGATAAGCTAAATTTGAGCATCCACTTTTTTGTCCACAAATTCGATAACAATCTGGTCCAGGTTTACAACCAATCACATCTAATAAATAGAGGAGATTAAAAGATATCGAAGAGATAAAAGTTATTGTGTAATTCAACAATTAAAATGTTTAAGTAAACTATGCAAAATCGTACATTCACAGGGTATTAGGGAATGATAGTAAATCAGTTGATGAGGTCATGAATAATCATCGAATGAGATGGTTGGGCCACGTGTTACGTATGCCTGAACACCGATTACCACGACGAGCTATGCAGACTAGTATAGGGAATAGTTGAAAGGGAGTTAGGGGTGGCCAAGCCAAAAAGTGGCATAAGTCCACAAAGTCACTAACGTCTAGTCTAAGCCATGTTGGTAGATGCAAACTACTTGGTTGGGGTCCGCGTGACTATCGTAACCAATGGTTGGAGACTATAGGTGATATGTCTCAGAATCTATCACAATGGCACAGGTATATACATTCTTTATCTTCCCTTATACCTTAAGATTAAAATTACTTCATAACGTTCTTCCTTCCTATACTATATCCTTATATACAATCTTTCTTTTATATATTACCACTTCTATGAATTTGTTCATATTGTTGTGCTAACGAGTGAGGTATGGCAACTTGGACCGATGCATAAATGTGCCTGGTCATACGTTGTAGCTGACTGACTGACTGAGATCATTTGCACATCTTCTTTGCTTTGTGCTTTACATACTTCATGATTCCTCTAATTCTGTTGTTATTTCCATTACTCTCCAATTTCCTACTTGTTCTCTTCATTTCAATCTTCCGTTAGCAGGTATTTTACTTCCGATTGCTTCTACATACTACTTATATCTGTCACCCTAAAATAAAATACACCACATACTGTAGTGAACAAGATCACGAGTTGGGGACAACTGAATGTATTTAAGCATAAATTTTAAACTATTTCACTAAATTCTGATAACGATACAGTAAACAGTTAATTTGTAAACTATCAATCAATTATTATCAGAAGGGGTTTTGTGGAGATTTAGTATTTTCATAGTTGAAAGCGTGAGTCTATTGATGCTAAACCACCAGGGAAAACCTGAAAGCACTAGACGGCCGTTTAGTCCAATTACGGGACTTCTCAGCAATGCGCATCCACGATACCGCCTCGCAAGCGAGATTCGAACCCAGGATCTACCAGTCTCGCGCCAGAGCACTTAACCGATAGAACACTGAACCGGCATACGATGGTGTTTATTTCTAACTGCAACCAATCCACGAAGTTGAGCAACCGTTCAGTGAGTTGATATCTCACCACGGATGTGGTTTGAACTCCACTGGTCACTGCTTTTCACTAGAACTCCTGGATTTATCTCTCGACGTCAGTCACTAGTGAGTATATTATTATTATTATACAATCACTGAGATTCAAGAACAGAGGAAAAGATGGGCAGAATACTTCGAGGAACTGTTGAATAGACCAGCCCCATTGAATCCACCGAACATCGAAGCAGCCCACACTCACCTTCCAATAGATGTCACTCCACCAACGATCAAAGAAGTCAAGATGGCCATCAGACAAATCAAAAGTGGGAAGGCGGCAGGACCTGACAATATACCAGCAGAAGCACTGAAGTTAGACATTGAAATAACTGCAAACATACTTCACCTTCTATTCAAGAAGATTTGGGAAGAGGAACAAGTGCCAACGGACTGGAAAGAAGGATATCTCATCAAGATACCAAAGAAAGGAGATCTGAGCCTATGTGAGAACTACAGAGGCATCAGTTTGTTATCAGTACCAGGAAAAGTTTTCAACAGAGTGCTGCTGAATCGGATGAAAGACGCAGTAGACGTCGAACTTAGGGATCAACAGGCTGGATTCCGTAAGGATCGGTCGTGCACAGACCACATTGCGACACTACAGATCATCGTTGAACAATCAGTGGAATGGAACTCATCACTATGCATCAACTTCATTGACTATGAGAAGGCGTTTGACAGCGTGGACAGGAGAACATTATGGAAACTTCTTCGACACTATGGAATTCTTGAAAAAATTGTCAACATTATCCAAAACTTATACGATGGACTACAGTGAAGGTGGTGCATGGAGGACAGCTGACAGATGCATTTCCAGTAAGGACCGGAGTCAGACAAGGCTGTCTACTCTCCCCATTCCTCTTCCTTCTAGTGATTGACTGGATTATGAAGAATTCGACATCTGAAGGGAAATACGGAATACAATGGACAGCTCAGAATCAATTAGATGATTTGGACTTCGCAGATGACCTAGCCCTCCTCTCTCATACACACGACCAAATGCAGATGAAGACCGCAAATGTAGCAGCAGCCTCCGCATCGATAGGCCTTCACATTCACAAAGGAAAAAGCAAGATTCTCAAATGCAACACAGAGAACACCGACCCAATCACACTTGATGGCGAAACTCTGGAAGAGGTGGAAACATTCAAGTACCTGGGGAGCATCGTTGATAAACAAGGAGGATCGGATGCAGATGTAAAGGCGAGGATTGGCAAAGCAAGGACAGCATTTCTACAATTGAAGAACATATGGAACTCAAAACAACTCTCAACCAATTTCAAGGTCAGAATCTTTAATACGAACGTCAAGACAGTCCTACTGTATGGAGCTGAAACGTGGAGAACTACCACAACCGTCATCAAAATAGTACGATTATTTATAAACAGTTGTCTACGCAAAATACTCAACATCCACTGGCCGGATACTATCAGCAACAGCGTTTTATGGGAGAGGACAAACCAGCTTCCAGCTGAAGAGGAAATTAGGAAAAGACGTTGGAAGTGGATCGGACATACATTGAGGAAATCACCAATGTGCATCACGACTCAATCCCTAACTTGGAATCCTGAAGGGAAGCGGAAAAGAGGAAGGCCAAAGAACACATTACACCGGGAAATAGAAGCAGATATGAAAAGGATGAATGTTAACTGGATAGAACTGGAAAGGAAGGCTCAGTACAGAGTTGGATGGAGAATGCTGGTGAGCGGCCTATGCTCCTCCACAAGGGGTAACAGGCGTAAGTAAGTAAGTAAGTAAGCTTTCAACTATCAATCAATTGTCTCAATCTTAATTGTTATTTCCGCAAATATCAGTCCATCTTCTCTAATTTCATAGTTCATGCATTTTCATACCGATTGCATTTCGTTCTCATTCTTTCCTTATCGGTTTTCTGCCAAAATACATTCTATATCTGACCATCATCATAAACTACTTATATGGATATAAGTAGACCACATAACACCACAATACTATCTTATATTGTATAAGTCTATTATTCAACTAATTTTAGGTTTACTTAACTAATTATGTATTACTTCTTGTGAGTTTGTTTATCCTATGACTATGCCGAATAACATGTAAATTATATTGATCACTGTAATATTAAAAAAAAACCTGAAAAAAAAACAACAAAACTTTCTATTCAATAAAATGAAAAAAATATTTAAAAATTTTTTATCGGTAACTTTTTAGTAACTATCCACAACATACTTTGATCATTTCCAAATCATAAATAATATGGCAACTATAATGTCACTTTAATATGTGCAATATAAGAAATATATACAAAAATAATCTATATAATCTATCTCTGATATTCTAATACATCAAGAATGTTTTACAGTGTTTTTTTTTCTTTCGTTGTTGAATAAATTATCAGAAAGTAGATTAAATTAAAGTAAAACATTAATCTTGATTAAACTTGTCAATGTATTCAGTAATTTCCATAGTTGAAAGCGTGAGTTAATTGAAGCTAGATCACTAGGGAAAACCTAGAAGCACTGGACGGCCGTTTCATCCTATTATGGGACTCCTCAGCAGGTCCTGGGTTCGAATCTTGTGAGGCGAGGTCGTGGATGCACACTGCTGAAGAGTCCCATAATAGGACGAAACGGCCCTCCAGCGCTTCTAGGTTTTCCATGGTGGTCTAGCTTCATAAGACTTACGCTTTTAACTATGAAAATACTAAATCTTCACAAAAAACACCTTCTGATAATAATATTCAGTAATTATTAAGTAGTTGCAATCCACAGTTCATTAAATGGTGATCAAGAATAGTTGTAACTATTACTTTATGATGATACAATTGAACTATATTAGCTGAAACAATTATCCCTTTAAGTCATACCATGCTGGACAAGTTGATTAAAGAGCAGTGGTTCGAAGACAAGGTTGCATTGTTGACTGTATTGAGATATGACAGTAGTAAGGTGTTCCTCTCTTAGACAACTATCATTTGCAGCGATGCTATCTTTCCACAAAAGAGGAGAAAGGTTATAAAAGACTACTTTTTAAAACTCTGTATCTCACATTATCACAAGAATTTCTATCTCCAGCGATAAGTCTTCAATAAGTACAAAATCAAAGGTTATCGAACACTATTGAGTTTTGCTTGCATATACTGAATGGATAAATTCTCAAAAAACTCATTTTGATCATCTTGAAGAATGATGAAGGTGAACGATGACTAAAAAGTAAGCTGGTGAAGGTTTACATAATGATTGCAAGCAGAGGTGGACAACAGAATCAAAAGAGATAGAAGAAGTAGTAAAAAGAGATTATGCTTAACAACTGTCCTGACCCATCCTATCAGGGAAACAGGTACTCTTTTAACATTCCCATAGGTAAGTCAACAGTTGGTAACAAAGAATTAGATATTACTGGAGATGACCTTACGATATTATGAATATTCCTGTGTCAAATGTATATACATTTTAGCTTCATTCTTTAGTTCATAAGATAAGAGAATATACAAAATGTACTAACTGTTTATTTGTATTAAGTCGGCTTACAGTAAACTCTATCAGAGCCTCCAGAGGCTCATAAAGAGCCCCAACCAATCAGCGATTAATAGAAGCTATGTTACTAAAATAACGATACCTGATTAGCTGTTTAACACACTGCTACTATGGAAACTCAAGGTCTCTTAATTACTATAAAACCCCTGTATTTTCTGTACATAAATGAACCCTGTATTAAAGTGTTTCTCTGATACTTGTACCTTGTCTCTGGTCTTCAAGTCGGTGTATAGTTCTAGCTCGGGGATACGGAACTAGCTTAGGAAAGTGAATATAGCGTTCACAACCGGCCAGCTATAACAATTTGCCAATAAAAAATTTTATTTACCTGGAAATAATATTCGACTTATCATCCCAGGTATTACAATTAGAAATAAAGGTAGCTGTTTAATCAAACCCGCCATTAATGTAGCACCTTGAGCATGAGATAAACTTTTTGCAGCTAAAACACGTTGTACCATCATCTGTATTATATAAGAGAAAAATTTAACTTTAAAGTTATACAGTTTAGAAAAGAAGTAAAAGGAAGAAGTAGTTAAATGAAACGAATTGGATGCATATTATAGAAGTGAAATGAAGTGAAATTCAATAACAATATTTTTAGACTATAATTATTACATTGTAAGCAAAGATGGATAGTGGCTGGGAGAGGAATCCAGTTGGACGATCGTTTCGTCCTATTTGGTACTCGTTAGCTGGATGTACTGCATCTCAGAGTTGATGTTCGATCTGAGACTCCAACTTAGTACCTTTCGCTTTAAACGCCATCGCGTTATTCACTCGGCCACTGAGTCCTGATAGTCAGTTGCTTGTGCAATGGGGTGAAGTTTAAATTCAACTTAGTATTGTTTATCTGAATCTTCCCATTGATTTTTAGGACTGCAGCTGGTCAGTCTCTTATTGGCATATGTGCATACTGTGCGCATTGTCTCGATATAGCCTAAATATAGCCTAGATATAGCCTAAATCCCAGAGTGAACATCAACTCTGAAATGCAGGTACATTGAGCTGACGAGTCCCAAATAGGACGAAACGCTCTTTGTCCTGGATTCTACTGCTAGCCACTATCCATCTTTGCTTACAATGCTTGTGAATTAAGGCTATATCGAGGCAATACGCACAGTATGCACATATGCCAATTAAAGACTAACCAGTTGCAGTCCGAAAAGCATCAATGGGAAGATCCAAACAAACAATACTAGGTGAATTTATAATTATTACATATTAAAAATAAACTGGATATAATGAACGATAAAATGAAATGTAATGAAACATTCAAAGACGCCTGACAAATTGTGGTTAGTTTCAAGTCATATTACGAAAAGATTGATATTGAAACATTCGATCCCTAATCTCTGAATCACAAGCTCAAACTCTGCCCGATCTGATAAGATTGGAACATTTAGTTAACGTATAACACTGTACTAAAACAATAAGTGTTACACATACATTATATACGGTTGGAAACTTATGTCACTACTATCCTTAACAACATCATCATCATCAAAACATAGAGGTAGATTATTGCTAATGGTTCTGGTTTCAAAGGTTTATATCTAATACCCAAAATACATATATGACCAGATCATAAAATCAGGCATAAGAACTGAATACAGTAATTTAACGATTACATAACTGCTTCTAAGCAACATTATTCTACCTTATATATAGTATATGCAGATATATGGAAAGTTTAGCATTCCCTGTTATATTTGACCTTTCATTACACATTGATATTCAGTTGAACTACAAACAAGTTTATTTATTTATTTAAACACATAAATATTGGTACCAGGGAGCACCAGATACATATGCTCCACACAAATCTCATTTGATTTGTGTGAGTGCTTTGATACTGCCCAGGTACCCGGACCGAAGCAGGTGGCTTTCTTAGAGAGTAACACCAGGAGCCTTTGACCTAAAGGTCTGATCCACAAGGCAGTGGAACATCGTGAGGAAATGCAGTCCCATGGTAGCTGGTGACTAATAATAGGTTCATACACCATTTGTTCCCTTAGGATACTGGAGCCCATGTGCAGCATCGGTTTGGAATGAGGGCTTCCCAACTCCCCTAGGTGGACTTTCCGTGTCCACCAACTCGGTTAAAGTGCCGGACATTTGCTTTCTGTCCTCTCAATTTCGTAAACAACAGTAATGCTACTAGAAGGCAACGAGTATGACTTCTCTGAAAGAGGCTATATATGCGTGGCCATGTGAGAGCATTTGGAGAGGAAGAGCAGAGTCTCCCCACTCTCAGCCATACCAGGGCATTCGGAGGCCTACTACAAACAAGTGTTAACAATAAAATAATATACAGTCATTTTTCAACATATACAACTTGGTTAATCGTTATTTCCGATCACATACCTGATCAGTACACCAATACCATATAGATGCAGGTGTTTGACCAAGTAAAAACCCAAGCCATGGCATTTCTGGATCATTAATTCCACGTAATAATACAAATGCATTTTCAGGTGGTAGACTACATTTTAGACTAGAAGGGACATCTGGTGAACTTGCCAATTGAGTTAATGAAGTGTAATTTGTTGTGTTAAGAACATTGGCCAAACTGATTATTAAATCTGAATCTGTACTTGATGAGATATTTATCGGGGCTATAGCACGACCATAAGAAGAAAGGACACCACCAAAGCCTCCAACATTTATGTAACCTAAATAGATAAACAGAAAAATGTAATTTCAGCATTTACGTGTTTATGTAACCAAAACAATCAATTGTGAAATTCTTTAAAAATTATACATAATTACAGTGTTTACTGTGATACTGGAAAAGAAATCCAGGTATTCGTTCAAAGATGATGTTTGATGAATACTTAACGTTTCTTGATTACAGTAGTGTTGAAGTTTTTGTCTGTTGAATAGTCGTGTTTTACATTAGAAAATAGGCATTTATCATCTTCAATTTTACCTTCCTCAACAGCATAGATCCTACCGACGTGAAAGATATGGACGAGGAAACCAAGGTTCGCCATTACTCCATAAAGACACTGACTTTTGGAGTCATCCATTCATGTAGATTAGAACTACCTAGTTGAGGCACATATGATTATCGTAATTAATGGTTGGTGACCTTGAGTGACATGGCTCTAAAATCATTCGCAAGGACGCAGGTTTATTCACTTTCTGTCTTCTTTAAGACCATAAGATTTTAAATTCTTCATAAATTCTCTTGATTATTTTACTAAATTTGTTTTTTTCTAGAATCTTATCTTCGGTCTTCAACTTCTTCTATAATTAATAATACTGTTATTACGTCTTCTACCCCATGTTTCTCGCCAGCAATTCAATCTTGCTGTGCTAATGTAGTATAGAAACTTGAGGAGGTTGTACACGTGTCAGGCTCTGTGTTACGCATGACTTACTGTATTTATATGTTGGAAAGTAATAGCTCGGAAGAGAACAGGCGATGCTGTTGGTTACTAGTAATCATAACTAAAATAAGAGGGGATTGCATAGACGTAAAGAAATTACTCAGAGGTTGTATAATTATTCAAGATGATTAGGAAGGAAAATGAAATTAGTGTGGAAATCAGTAAGAGCATGTAGAAGATGAAAAGTAGAAGACGAAAACCTGTTTAGAAAAAATTGAAGGGTTATTTGATTAAAACTTAGTAACCATAGAAGAGAAACACTGATCATTTCATTCTCCGAAGCTTATTGTTCTTGCTTTGTTTAAAACCATCAAATGATTTACTGTCAATCCAGATAGTTAACTAAGAAACTCTTGGTGAAATCAATAGTCAGTTGTAGATTCCATTAAAGACTACTACGAAGCAATATGTGGTAGACCAAATGAACCATTTAAAATGAGCTATCCAATGTGGTATTTCTTCAAAATTTTAACAATAGAATATCCAATTCAGTCAGTCATTAACAACATTAGACGTGACACATATTCATCATTTCAAGCTGTTGTAGCAGCCAACATCATGCATCAAAGTAGACGGTGGTCGGGCTTCTATAAACTTTGGATTTTGTCATTAACTCTGATAAATAATAATTAACCTTTATTCACAGGGAGATGAATATCATATTTCCATGTAATGGTTAGTTGGAGAAATCACTTGTATAATGAACTTTGAATCATACTCTAATTTTAATAGCAATTCCGTAAGTGCTGATAAAGAGTAGTATCAATACTCTTTTAGTCATAACGTTGGACATTTGTTTGGCATAGATTTATAGTATAAACTTGCTAAACCATTAGAATGAGTGAATTTTATCCTGTTACATACAATAATCTCGCATGAATGTTACATTCTTCGTCGAATCCATGTTGATCATTCTATTAGCGTTTGTTTATGATTTTTTTTTATTCAGATCACTGAATGAATAAGCAATAACTGCTTAACCATTCTTATATTTCAAGTATTTATTTAACCGACTGAATCGGAGGTACTGGTCTTATAAACAACTTGACAATAACGAATTAGAAGGGGTTTTTGTGGATATTTCAATATTTTCATAGTTGAAATCATGAGTCAATTGTAACTAGATAACCATGGAAAACCTGGAAGCACTGAACGGCAGTTTCGTCCTATTGTGGGACTCCTCAGCAGTGCGCATTCACGATCCTGCACCCGCCAGATTCGAACCCAGGACCTACCAGCCTCGCGCCATAGCACTTAACCGATAGACCACTGACGAGTGCGGGATCGTGGATGAGCACTGCTGAGGAGTCCCATAATAGAACGAAACGGCCGTCCAGTGCTTCCACGTTTTCCATGGTGGTTTAGTTTCAATTGACTCATGATTTCAACCATGAAAATAAGGAATTAGCTATTTCGATTAAATCACAGATATTTATGGCACTGTCAAATATTGGGATCCAGTTGTTGGTATCTCTATTGAGAAATATATTCATTTTGATAGGAAAGTTAAAAAATGGAACAAATTACTTCAGATCAATCCATTTTCAATGACTATCTCAAAACTGTTTTAGCGTAAATGATTGAAAATTAATTAGTCAATGAACTTACTTATTATAGCCAGTATTAAAGCACCAACTATCATCACGAAAAACTGTAGTGTATCTGTATACAGAACAGCTGCTAATCCACCTGAAATAATTAACAATGAATAAATAAAATGGATTATTGTCATTATGTATAAATATAGACATTATTCTGAACAATATTTTCCATGTGTTTTGGGATCTTCCATATGGAAATTGTTCGGTAGCTCAACCGACTTCTTATTCTAGTCTTGTCTTCTCGCCCAAATAGTCAGTTTAAGGGGTTAGTGCGTAGGACGTTGTGTATCAGTATCGGATGTCGGACATTGTTCATCATAACAAAACCATGAACAGTCAGTCGCCTTTCTGTGTACTTCCACAGGTCTTTACAATCGATTCATAAATAATGTTAACCAAATAATTCAGATAATAAAAATATTTCCTGTTTCACTACTGAAACGAATAAACACGTATACAAGTTGTTGAGAAATCTTACGCTTCCTAGAAAACTCCATCGTATACCACCTATTTACTTACCGACCTAGAAACTGTTATCGATTACTCCTATATAACACACTCTGACTCCGTAAACATAGAAAAGCTCACCTCGCGTTTTAGATAATAAACATTCAACTTATTAGTCTAACACTAAACAGTCAATCTGCAAAATGTATCCTCACGATTGCTTGTTTTTAACCGGTATAAGCACTCTAGAACTTGCTACACAGCTATCTTAATCATCTCTTTCATTTAGAAACTGATAAAAAAAACAGTTGCACCACCCACAGTTTTAATAACCACTGCTTCAACCATTCGCCTACAGAATTCAATATCATAATAAACGAATTACATAACTCTAGTATTTGTCAGAAAAACCAGCAGTCTTCAGGATATAGACCCTCTCAGTTTCGGGAACTCCGTCAAATATCAGACAATGTTATTTGTATCGTAAACTACATCTTAATGTTCTTGTACGTGTTGTTACAGATGCGGTAGAGTCAGACTGTTATAACTGCTTTGCAGACAGATGTTACAGCTGGTGATTGATGAAAACAATTCTAAATGGAGACAAGAATTAAACTCTGAAACTATCGATGTATACAACTGAGTAAAGCAATCTATAATAAACTGAAATATCTTTCCCTTTTTCTAGTTTCATTTGTCACTGAAATCTACGCTTGATGATGATTCTTTCAAAATTTACCGAAATCTACCAGTTTATGAACTCTGGAATGTTCAAATTGTTTATCAGTTTAATCATCAAAACTAGTTAAACTTTATTCAATATTAACACGTGATTTATGGAACACTAAGGTCATGCATGACATGAGTTACAATTTTCATTTAGTAATGCGAACTGAATAGTTTACTGTGCTCATCTCTGCTTTTTGCTCTGAATAGAAAACTAAAACAACAGTCTGAAGACCTATACTATTCATGTTGAAATGGCTCGATTGATTACAATCAAGGTATTACGAATATTTATTTCTATTTACTGTGAATTGTTCACCGTTGATAAACAAGGAGGATCTGATACAGATGTAAAAGCGAGGATTGGCAAAGCCAGGACAGCATTTCTATAATTGAAGAACATATGGAACTCAAAACAACTGTCAACTTATTTCGAAGTGAGAATCTTCAATACGGACGTCAAGATAGTTTTACTGTATGGAGCTGAAACGTGTAGAACCACTAAATCCATCGTCAAGAAGGTACAAGTATTTATAAACATTTGTTTAGGCAAAATACTCAAATTTTACTGGCTGGATACTATCAGTAACAGCGTTTTATGAGAGGGCAAACCAGATTCCACCTGAAGAAGAAATTATGAAAAGACGTTGGAAGCGGATCGGACATACATTAAGGAAATCACCAAACTGCATCACGAGGCCAGCCCTAACTTGGAATGGTGAAGGGAAGCGGAAAAGAGGAAGGCCAAAAAATACATTACACCGGGAAATAGAAGCAGATATGAAAAGGATGAATAACAACTGGAAAGAATTGGAAAGGATCGGCCAGGACAGGGTTGGATGGAGAATGCTGGTGAGTAGCCTATGCTCCTCGACGAGGGGTAACAGGCATAAGTAAGTAAGCACTGTGAATTGTTATCGATATTCTTAGTACGTTAAAGTCTGAAATATAAAATATCACTTTGAAATTCAACTGATCTCTTCTGAACATTAGTCCAACATCATCTGACTAGCACAACTAATAAAATGGAGTAGTAGCTTAGTGATTAATGTGGTCAACTTCTATTCAGTAAGTTTCAGATTCCAACTCTGCTCCAGCTATCTTGGATGAGGCAACGATATAATATCACTAGACCTAGCTTGGATTTCAATGGACTAATCTGTACTTTGTAAGTAAGTTGAGTAAATAAAACAAATACAGTAATCAGATTGAGAATAGTAGCTCAAGCCTAAACGACAAACCAATTCATTTGCGAATAGTTGGAGAATTATTGTGATTTTGATTGAGTTATATTCAGTGGGCTAGGTGTGCGTTGGTAGGTTCTAATGTGAAACTTTCATCGATGTTTTCCAGAAGACATCATCAGAACAAACTTCAGAAGGAAGTTAGCTACTTGGATTTATCCAAATATGACTAGCAGTTCGTTATGTCGACCTTGATTAAATACTGTTCATCCCTATTTTGTCATCGCCTGCATGTTTATCTTGATTGTCTTTCCCTGACCTGAATCTAGAATTTTTAATCAACTCCTCTAATTGATTGATAAATTGGATCGATTTTGATATGTTTATTGATTGTCGAATGAGATGAGTGCCAAGCTTTTAGTAGTCGTCTGGTTATCTTGGTTGTTCCTTTGTTGCACACCTCATCATTTTCTCAGTTGAATGTGTCTTTACAATCGTTTATGTGCATTGATCAGTGAAATACATGGGGATTTTCCAAAGCTAGTTGGCGTTCATGTAGTTGGTGTGAAGAGGACAGTGACTTCGTCCGATGTAATGTTACTCGCAGTTAGAGCAGTTTATTGTCTAAACAGTGGTTGGTGTTCTCTCTTTTTTCACTTCATAACTCGGTTCGTATAAAACTGATTGATTTATCAGCTATGCCTACTTCGAAGAGATGCAATAATGTGGATTTCATTTCCCGTAAACTGTTTGTTGTCGGTTTTAACATTTAATTTTGTCCCTGCTGATGAGTTTGATAAACATGCTTTGGTGAGGTTGAGTGGATAGATGATGATCTTTTAAAGTCATTTGATACTTTTCTTCATTTTCCCATAGTATAGATGTGCTGCAGTGGATCCTTGTCGTCAGTCACTCACAACGTAGAACTTCGTACGTACATCAGTTCGAGTTGCCATACCACATTAGCACAGAGATGCAGTTGTCCATTCAGATCCCATAGTGGTAGAAGTAGTAAGAGATTAGGGTTTGAAGATGTTATTCAAGCAGTATAATCCAATGAAATAAATTTGGAAAGAGAAAAAAGATGAAGATATGAAGAAATCAGAAAATTATAATTCGGTAGAACACAAAGAGTGGATGCACCTTCGCCATTGCAAACGATTTTGAGCCATGTCCTCGAGATTGGAACAAAACGTTAACATCATTGTAGTTAAATACCCGACCTGATATGTGTGTGGAGTAGTTGTGAATAAACCCAACTTAAATATCATCCCTCGTTCTCTATTATTCGAAATCATTTCCTCCTATTGAACAGTCTCTTGTATCTCAACTTGTATACAACTTGTAGCTGAAATCAAGTCTCCTCTTTTGCTTATCATCTTGTTCGTTTTCTTTTTCTCTGTGGTCGTGTAAGTTATGGCGAATAAAACAAACAAACATATGTTTCAGATTCTGTGTTAATGATGACTGAATGACTCGGTTTTGTGAAGAAAATTCACAATACAAGACTCTCTTGGTACCATCGCGAAGCAATGTGACGGTGATAAGTGTTGAAATTGGAGATAATTACTCCTAGACGTATGCTGAATACTGAGATAACATAATTCATTTTCATATCCTAGCCCTGTCTACTCCGCAAAGCTTGTCATCAAGATACACAAGTAAAGACCAAAGAATAATCACTTGAGCAAACAAAGTATGCATATAAACTATTGTAAAATGACCTCAAAAATGGAGTGAATATTTTCTATCGATTGGGAGAGAAATAGTGTTTTTATGTAATGTATATAGCAAAGATTAGGATGGCTGGGATTTTACTGACTAAAATTCCAATTTCCGTACATAAACATAACTCGTAATTTGTTTTTGATTAACGTTCCCGACAAAGTGTTTTAGACGGGTCCCTCTTCGTCTAAATGCCAAATACTGATTCAGCATTCATTTGCATCAATACCTAATCTGGTTACGGGGACTGAAGTAGTTTATGCTTTTGCATAATAGCAGAAACAGGGTTTGAAAGAAAATGGTAGGATAGTATTATTACATTTTTATGTGCATTTTATTTAGGGAGTAGAACTCTGTTAAAAAGCTTCTTCAGAGAAAAGCTACAAATCGTTTTCCTAATTGATATCGTTGGTTTTGAAGTTTATTTCAGCAACTCTAAAACATCATACTGCTTTGCACACATAAGGCGGTAAGTCGAACAGCAAGTATTGATTGCAAATGAATATTTGCATTTTCTAAATACATTGAGATTGAATTAAAAACTTTTATAATGACAAAAATAGACTTGACACTTACGTTTCCTTTTGATACTCGTTAGGAACGATCTTACAACGAAACTCCTATATTTAAGCAAACACAATAGAGTAAACTGAAATGCATAAGGTTGGTCATTTAAATTCATTTTATAGAACTGCCCACACCCATCAAAACAGTATATAAAGCCAACGTACATTGATGATTATGAAACCTAATGATTGACGATTTTATGTATATTTAGGTAGACACAATTCCGGTCCTTCAGAGACACTAATATAACTTATTCAAGTAAACGTAACGATTCGAATACATCTTGATACTTGTTTAAAATTTAGAGAAAATACCAAGGGAATCTTACCGGTAACAGTAATAAGACCAGTGAGGAAAAGCAGCAAAACTATTGATACCCAAGTATTCCATTTTAATGCTTCAGTTAAAAACAGGGAACCTGAATATAAATTAACCTAAAATCAACAGTTTACAGTTATATACTTGCATGAATAATATCAACTAATGGTAACAAATTATTTGTTGAGTACTTGGATCAGCTAATCATCAGAAAAACTCCAGATCTCCTAATTATGCATTGCAATTGGTCGAGTTACGTGTGAAACGTAGTAGAACGTCATAAGACATGGGGTTATTTAGCTATGTCATAAAGTACATAAATGTACATAAAGTAAAAATAGTGTGGTTAATTATCTGAAAATGACATATTTAAACAGCAATAATGTGCAAAGAATACCAAGAATTGTATTGAGTCTAAACTCTACAGGCATATGCACAGAGTACAAGAGTTAATAACTCAGTAGTTGTTGGAAATCTCCGAACACTTTCTGATAACAGAACTACAAATTCAAATAAAGTCCAAAAGTTTATTTTGAGTAGACTCCATAATCTAACAGCCGCGTACCAACCGTCCATCAGCCAGTTTTCCCACTCACTTTTAGATATAAAAGTGAAATCTAATAAGAAACCTACGAAATAACATTTTGTAGATCAATGTTTTAACATTTTGTTCTGACTGTAGTTTTCGAAAATACTTGTTACTGAACAGTAACCCAGGGAAACGGAATCGATTAGATTAGGACGCCTGTTATTTCTGCTGGTTGCCCAAATATTAAATAATGTGTTTCGAAGATTTATTACATTCAAATTTTGAGTTAGTACATAACAGTTGTAAAGAGTCTGAGCCAAGTCTAGAAATAAGTGGTTTAGCTTTATTTACAAAGACAATGTCTTAGCATGCTTTGATGGGATCGACTTTGATTATGTTTGTGGTGCAAGAAATAATAATATTGTTCATCAAAGGAAGCTATCTGACCCCAAAGTCTGGTTGGAGGGAAATGAAGTTCAGAATTTTTAAAAATACTAAATAAAACTTATCTTCAAATAATATTTCTTACAAACTCCGCAAACAATATTTTTGATTAACCGTAGAGAAAAATGAAACGTAGTCATTAAGTAGCAAATTTGATCTTCAGATATCGCTTTAGGTTTCAAGATGTACGCAATGTCCTTAACTTCGTATTATTTGTACTCAAGTTACTTTTCGTGACATAGATTGACTGATTTTCTGACTATATGATGACTGAGACTATTTTGTGCAATACATCCCAGCTCTTAGAATACATGATAAAGACTGTCTGTTGTATTTATGTTCACACAACCATTTACTTATAATAAGTATGAGTTATAAACCCAAAGGAACGCATTGGCTTGCAAATCCGGAAATTCACTCAATGGCGGATTAAATTAGACCATACTGTCAACAGACATACCTGGATAGACTTTGATGCTAGTATTCCATCTTTAGCACATATGTTAACTCTGACTATGCTTTGGCACAAACAGGTGTCTGAAAGCGTTCCCAGTAAAAATGCCACTAAGAGATAACATCGGGTATCGGTCTATCAAAAACAAGAAACTGGTTAATTACTAGCTTCGAAACTCACGCTGATGGGCATGACGGAAGCAAACGAGATAGCAAAAGTATTGAGGATGTTTAACGCCAGACAGCCGTTTAGACCGACTAAGTTCACAGTTAGTAAGACTGCCGTAAGGAGGGGTAGAAGCTTTGTTTATTTTCGGGCGAATCAATGAGAATGATGGACGGAATACATTGAGAATAGTCTTAACTGTGCATTAGTTACGCTTTGGTCACTCACTCTTCCCCATTAGTCTGACTGAGAGATGAACAGAACCTCTTGGTCAATAACATTCGGATTAGCCATACAAATTGACGATTACCAGGGCATTTCAGTTACTTAATTTTATTGAAATCTATCGCTGCTAACTACTAAGAAATGGTGCGCTTCAAACCTGACTGATGTAGTACTAAAATTAAATGATTGACGACGTTTGATGACATGGAAAAAAATCGATCTCTTCGGCACAATCACATCGATTACTCATCTTCAATTAAATTTCAGGTTAAATATCATCCCTCGTTCTCTATTATTCGAAATCATTTCCTCCTATTGAACAGTGTCTCTTTTATCTCGATACAACTTGTAGCTGAAATCAAGTCTCCTCTTTTGCTTATCATCTTGTTCGTTTTCTTTTTCTCTGTGGTCGTGTAAGTTAGGCGAATAAAACAAACACACATATGTTATAGGTTCTGTGTTGATGATAACTAAATGACTAGAGTAATTGAAAGCAAAAACGAAAGATGGAACTTCTTCAATATCTTAGTTAGCAATGTAAGTGTTTGGGCTGAGTCAACTATCCCCTAAATGCCAAATAGTTCTGAGAAGAATTCTAGTTTATGGGTGTTGTTGAAGTGACTCCTCAAAACTAAAATTCTTCACAGAACTAGATTCATCACTTAAAACTTCCTGAATAAGTCACAAGCGACGCCAAATAGTTCTTCATCGACCGTTTGCAGCAATGCCTACTCTGGCTAGTAGGAGTGAAGTCACCAAGTGTGTTACCAATGGAGGATATGTCAGCGATAAAATCTTTGCATAGATATATGTTAAATAAGCATACAAATAACTACATGAATACATCTCAAATGGTCAAAAAATACAGAGTTGAGTAAGTTAAAATCTATCAACTTACAGAAATCTTTGTAAAAATATATAGTATGAGAGACAAAAGAGCGAGATACATATGTATTCTTTCTCCGCCATATCGTTTCTTCATGTATTCTGGCAATGTAAATACCTAAAAGATATCATATGAATCAAAAAACGTACTCCACTCGCAATATACACCGGCAGGAAAACCCATCCAAGAAGTTGAAGTAAAATTGACGCCTTAAAAGTAAAGTACAGCACGTTATTTTATCAAAAGCTTGTGGCGTAAAATGGCCGGGTGATGAAACTTTTATAACTTATATACTAGAAAAATGACATAGCAATAGGATAACATCTTGCTAACAGTCCGCTTTTATGTAATAAGTGAGTTACTGAAAACTTTACTCACATTTAGTTCAAAAGCGCCAACTGCTATGCCAGCTGCCGCTCCTGACCCAGCTAAACCGATGAAATGTTCGCTTCCAATGTTGCTAGCAAATAATGATGCACCAACCTTTTTACTATTTATTAGCCAATATAGTAGACTTACAGGAAGCCATGTCATAAACCGGCCTGCTAAAAAATAACCAGTAACAGTCCCTCTTCTAGAGGCGAACAATGCCTGATAAAATCATTATTTACGACTCACACTGGAACTTACGTATATCCCAGTACCCAATAAAGCTGCAAAATATATCACAAGGACTATAATATCCAATACATTGAGGTTCATTATTTGCAGGCTGCTTAACTAAAATTATACAAATAACGCTTAAGAAAAATGAACGGCACCAATCTTAAGTAATGAACAATGATAAACCTAAGAAATTCGGTGTGACTTTCGAGTGAGCTCTAGCTGATATCTATTACCTTATACACCAATCAAACAACGTCTCATTTACTCCAGCAGAATTCCTAACCGTCACATAGAACAGTGTGAATGTAATAACTAAATTTGAATGATTAAAACACTCTCTCACGTGAATTATCCAATCGATTTTGCTGAGCTAATGTAAGACAAGAATATCTTTGAGTTTACATTTTGTTGTTTCAGTACTGTTTCAAGTCTCTCGTAATGTCCAGTGTGCGGTAGTCAAGCCAATCCACTGCACCAATTCTAGTTAGTTTGGTAATTATTTGTGGGTTTCTGTATTTTGGAATCTAAGTGAATCCATTTGCTTCATGACATCCGCGTTTCTATATTAGCGACTATCACATTATCAGCTTGTAGGTTTGTCGGTTAGGACGTGGAAAAATAATAGACAAACAATTTGAATGCATAAGGACTAATAATAAACGATTGTCTGAAGAAATCTAATTGTAGCAGCACATAAATCTCAAAAATAGTTTTCTAAGTCTTCAACATCGATGCTGATCTCAATAGCTTTACTGGACACACACCATACCAGATGACATTTGGATAAGCCATACTTGACAACTTATTGCAAATAGTCAGCGTGTTTTGCGTACACTTCAACACATCAGTCATTGTTCAAAAATACTTGCTCACCTATTCAGTCCCGACTTTCGATTTTTAAAGCTTCAGGCTGCTTGTATAAGAAGAGTTTGAAGGTTGCTGTGTCATTTTCATGATTAATCAATTTACTAATAATGTAAAAAAATGTGAGGAGACAAAAATGTACTGGCAAAATGTAAACAGAAGTGACAAGAGGCACAATAAAAATCAGCTGATGATATGTGCTAATGATGATGGTAGATAAGTTACGTGACGTACATCCGGTAGAGTTAGTTCAAGTGAGAGACAGTGATCCTCGTGTTTACCAAGTTCCTTCTTGGAGCTCTCTAGTGAAGTAACTATGGTTGTTTCTGCTAGAGGAGCATTCAAAATGGAGAAAGGGTGTAGAAACACTTTAACTTTCACTACGTTATGTGCCTGTTTAGGAGTCACAAGTATAGCATCCTGTTGAGGTGATGTCAGGTGCATTGGATGTTTCAAGCCATTTCAGTTCACCTCTTATTATCCTACAGACCAAACATAAGAATCCTAAACATCAAGGTCCATCTCCGAAGGATTAGTTTCTCAATCCGGCTATCCACTCTGTTGTTTGTTTCTGTACTTCATTTATGAGACTTACATCTTTCAAGATGAGTGGGGGTAGGAACCCTGTGAACTTCGAGGTGAGCTCCATACATCTATTACGACTACATCCTCAACGTATTTTCAGCCGGTTTCCAAGCTCTTCATGGCCGATTACCCTGGGTGGCGCAGTATGGAAACGATTTTGAGGAAATCATGGCTTGTCATGTAAAGCTGGAGGTCTCGTATGAGATTGGAAGTTCACCATTGACATTGTGGATGGTTCAGCATTGCTTTAGCAAGTTTCGCCGACTGTTCATGTGAACAGTTGGTTCGCTGGCTAACCTAATTTATTCTCACTGATGGTTGCTTCTCAGTATTCTTAAGGGCCATTGTCAGTGGAACATTGCAAGACATATCATTATTGCTAACAGTAATGAGTTTGACTGTCGTGTAAGTGGAATGGGTCAACTTTGACCTGTTCATTCTGTGCATAATTGATTTAGGCGATCATTGATCGGAATAATTATACATGTGATGTGAATGTGGATATGAATGATGCGAACGGTCCACCAGGGTGCTTGGTTGAGCCAGAGGATTGAGATCAACTATTCAGATTGCAGCATTAAAGCCTATACGGTGTCTGGTTCTTCTGTGAAACGGGGTTGAGCTGTACTGCTCGAATCATAAAGTTTAGTCGTGGATGGTATCTGGTTCTCCTGAAAGTGGGATTGAGCTGTACTGCTCGGGTAAAGCCTTTGAGGTGTCTAGCTCTCCTGTGAAACGGGGTTGAGCTGTATTGTTTGGGTTATCATGTGATCATAAAGTTTAGTCCTTGGTGGTGTCTGGTTCTCCTGGAAACCGATGCAAAATTACCCTGACTCTCAAGGGTACATTTTACAACTGTATGCTTGTCTTTTGAGACTGGATGTTCATAATGTTACTTACTGATACACAAAATGTTTGTCTAATGTTCATCACCAGTTTTCATACTACTGTGAAGTCATTTGAGACCCTCAGTAAATCATCCTACTTCACGAAACTTCATATCTTTACGACTTCGACATAGATTAAAGTCAGTCAGCCAACGTTATAAGGATACCACAAGTATTCGGCGTTTAACAACACCTTAACCAGTACCACCTTTTATAATCAAAACGTTCCAACTCAGTGAAATCAGAAGTCAGAAGCGAAGAAGTTAAAAAACATATTTGATAAGCTATTGATGTACAGAGAAACGATCAATCTAAGCTGCCTAGTGGTTGTAGGAGATGTGTAGCGCAGAGTACAAACTTGTGATTTGGTACGGATGCGCGACCGAACGCCTTTAGCAAGGTGAGTTCATTAAAACTAATGAGGTCGGCATCAAATGTTACAGACTTACAAAGCTATTGATTTTTGGAACTTATTGACCACTGCAATCATCTAGGGAAACGGTACCAAAAGGGAAGCCAAGGAATGGTCCTTGAATTGTTCTTTCCAGCTTATATACATACTGTGAACCTCAACGAACAATATTTATGGAAATAAATAAGCTATATATGGTTGGATTTTATTTTTATTACCATTCTTTAGGGAACAGCATGAATAGACTTCTTTCGTTTATAGAACTTCTTTTAGAATATATCCAAAGCGAGAGTTATAGTCAGAGCATTCTAGTCATTGATTCTCTGATGTAATAACTAGTCAACATGGAATCAAAGAGCGAAAACATCTTGGAGCGACACTCTGAAATGTAAGGAAAATGCGAACGAAATCAGAACTTCTAAAATGATTTGAAAATTGAGATCAATATGTGACCTCAGATGCAACTAAGGAACTAGATTTAACAGCATAACTAGCATTATCTAAAGGTCCAGACACTTCCGAGATGAATTAATGATTTGTCTGCTTTCCTTACTTGGCCGTTAGGCACAACTGCTGCCGTAGATTCATTCAAGTGTAATTTTCAGCTTAATTATATCAACTATCTAGGATATACTGTAGATGCTAAGAGTTTTAAACCTGATGTTAGTCGTCTATCTCTATTGATTCAAGCACCGTCACCTACGAATATCAAAACACCACATCACGGATTGTTGCTCTTCAGTCCCATTCCGGATTTATTTCCAACTTTACAAAAGTGCTGTTCTGACTTAGTTACTTCCCTACTTAAGCCTGTTGCCCTCAAGTGAGCATAGACCGCCGACCAGCATTTCCTAACTCACTCTGTCCTGAGCCTTCCTTTATAGCTCCTTCCAGTTGTTGTTCATTCTTCCCACATCTGTATCCATTTCTCGGCGTAATGTGTCCTTTTGTCTTCATCTCGTCCTTTGGCCTTCAGGATTCCATGTGAGGGCTTGCCTTGCGATGCGGTTGGGTGCTTTCTTCAATGTGTATCCTATCCACTAACAGCGCTTCTTCCTGATTTCTTCCTCCGCTGGAATCTTGTTTGTTCCCTCCCACAGTAACTTGTTGCTGATAGTGTCTAGCCAACGGATATGAAGTATTTTGCGTAGACAACTGTTAATAAACACCTCTATCTTCTGAATGATGAATTTCGTTGTTCTCCACGTCTCTGCCCCATACAGTACAACTGTCTTCACATTTGTATTGAAAATCCTGATCTTGTTGTTGGTTGACAATTGTTTTGAGTTCCAGGTGTTCTTCAGTTGTAGGTATGCTGCTCTTGCTTTGCCGATCCGTGCTTTCACATCTGTATCAGATCCACCGTGTTCATCAGTGATGCTGCCTAGTTATGTAAAGGTTTCCACACTCTCCAAAGTTTCTCCATCAAGTGTGATTCGATTGGTGCATATTGTGTTGTATCGGAGAATCTTGCTTTTCCCTTTGTGTATGTTGAGACCTACTGCTGCTACATTGGTTGACTTCTGCATTTGTTGTTGCATGTATGATAGAAGAGCCAGGTCATCTACAAGGTCTAAATCGTCAAGCTGCATCATAGCTGTCCATTGTATCCCGTGCTTCACCCGAGATGTGGATGCCTTCATGATCCAGTCGATCACCAGGAGAAAGAGAAAGGTTGAGACTAAACGACCTTGCCTGACACCGGTCTTTCCCTCGAATGAGTCGGTGAGTTGTCCTCCATGAACGATTTGGCAGTTTAACACACCATAGGAATTCGGTGTTATATTGACTATCTTCTCAGGCATGCCGTAGTGTTGAAGAAGCCTCCATAATGTTGTCCTGTCTACATTGTCGAGTGCTTTTTCAAAATCAATGAAGTTGATGAAGAGTTATGAATTCCATTCACTTAACTGTTCCAAAATGATCCATAGAGTTGCAGCTTGGTCTGTACACGATCGATCCTTACGGAATCTAGTCTGATGATCTATAAGTTTGGAGTCTACGGATTTCTTCATTCTTTTTAACAATACCCTGTTGAAGACTTTTCCTGGTATTGAGAGAAGAGTGATGCTCTTGTGGATCTAACACTTGCTGAGATCGTCTTTTTGGCATTTTGTTCAGAAGTCCTTCTTCCTAGTCTGTTGCTACTTGTTCTTCATCCCAAATCTTTGGAAGTTCGTGGGCGCTAATTCATCGTTAATAATAATAATATATTCTGAAAATAATATTTACAGAATTCATACCAGTTTACAGGCATGATCAGTTTGATATTAACAGCAACATTTAATGTAGAGAACAAACATGAAATATAAAATTGTTTTATGTTTGCTGGTTCAGTAATTGATAGG